GAACAAACATCTGCATGTGCTTTGGCTTGGGGCTTGTTCCCTGAGGGTCTTTGCCCATCCTTGTCGCCTCTGTGTTTCCTCACCAGATTTTGACTGGGTGTGGGATGACCTGAACAAGTCAACGGCCACGCTGCTGACGTGTGACAACCGCAAGGTGAACTTCCACATGGAGTACAGCTGTGGCACGGCCGCCATCCGCGGCAACAAGGAGCTGGCAGAGGGACAGCACTTCTGGGAGATCAAGATGACCTCCCCGGTGTATGGCACTGACATGGTACGTGTGGGGCACACAGAAATGCCCAGCATTGTGGACAGGGGTGGCAGGATGAGGTTCCACCGTGGCAGATGAGGTTTGAGGCTGTCTGGAAGTGCACAAAGCCATGGGAAGCTGATGAGATGTATCCCTGGGATCTGAGGGAACTGGTGGATGAAGTGCCTTAGCCACTATCCATCATATTGGAGAAGCTGTGCAGTCTGGTGAAGTTCCCAGTGACTGGAAAAGAGGAAACATAACCTCCATTTTTAGAAAGGGAATTAAGGAACATCTGGGGAAGTACAGGCTGACCAGTCTCGCCTCTGGACCTGGAACAGATCCTTTTGGAAACTATGCAAAGGCTCACGGAAAAAGTGGATGTGATTGATGACATCCATCATGGCTTCACTGAGGGATTCGGTGGCCTTCTGTGATGGGGTTGCAGTGCTGGTGGAGGAGGGAAGAGCAACTGATCTCATCTACCTGAACTTGTGCAAAGCATTTGTTGCTGCCTTGCATGGCATCCTTGTCTCTAACCTGGAGAGACATGGATTTGACAGAGGCACCGCTTGGTGGATATGGAATTGTCTGGATGATCACACGCAAAGAGTTGGGAGTCAACAGAGATCAGTGACAAGTGACATTGCTCAGGGGCTGGCACTGGGACCAGTATTGTTTCACATCTCTGCTGGGGACGTGGGCAGTGGGATCAGGGCATCTTAGCAAGACTGGAGCTGACACCCAGCTGTGTGGGGAGTTGACACCCTGGAGGGGTGGGATGGGGCATCCAGAGAGGCCTGGACAGGCTGGAGAGGTGGGGCCATGGGAAAAATGTTGAACAAGGCCCAAGTACTGGTGCTGTGCCTGTGTCAGGGCAATCCCAAGCAACAATCCAGGCTGGGCAGAGATTGGAGCGAGAGCAGCCCTGGGAGAGGGACATGGAGTGCTGGAGGATAAGAACTGGACATGCCCTGGCTGTGAGCACCCAGAAACCCCCCTGGGCTGGGCTGAGCCCTGGTAGGGGCAGCAGGGGGGGAATCTGCCCCTCTGCCCCCTCAGGTGAGACCCCACCTGCAGAGCTGCTCCAGCCCTGGGGCCAACAGCAGCAGGACCTGGAGCTGCTGGAGAGAGTCCAGGGGAGCCCAGGGAGATCCCCAAGGGCTGGAGCCCCTCTGCTCTGGGTCAGGCTGGGAGAGCTGGGGGTGCTCAGCTCAGGGATGCCTCAGAGCCCCTGCCAGGGCCTAAAGGGGCTCCAGGAGAGCTGGAGAGGCACTGGGGACAAGGATCTGGAGAAGGGAGAATGGCTTCCCACAGGCAGAGGGCATGAATAGACAGGATATTGAGAAGGAATTGTTCCCTGTGAGGGTGGGCAGGCCCTGGCACAGGTGCCCAGAGCAGCTGTGGCTGTCCCTGGATCCCTGGCAGTGCCCAAGGCCAGGTTGGACGGGGCTTGGAGTCACCTGGGCTAGTGGAAGGTGTCCCTGTCCATGGCAGAGATGGGATGAGATGAGCTTTACAGTTCCTTCCGACTCAAACCATTCTGTGACTGTGAACAGGACAGTGACCTCCAGTGTTTTAGCTGGGCCTCCTCACTTAGGAAAGGAAATCAAAGCTTGGAGCCTTCAGCTCCACCCTGAAACCTCCGACTTGGCTTCACCAACCCCTCTGGGTGTTTTGGGCTGAGCCAAGAAGAGGAGGAAAGAACTGAGGGTGGAATCTTGGTTGTGTATTGTTGCTTGAAAAGGCACTGAGCTCGTGTTCTTCCTCCCTGCTTTGCCTCCCAGATGGTGGGGATTGGGACGTCGGATGTGAACCTGGACAAGTACCGCCACACCTTCTGCAGCCTGCTGGGCAAGGACGAGGACAGCTGGGGGCTCTCTTACACAGGTAACACGGCCAGGGTGGCTGGGTGGGCAGCACTGGCATTGGAGGTGCCACCAGGCCTTTCTTAAGAATCCTTTGTTAAGACACCAGAGCAGCTGCTGGCAGCTCGCAGCCCTTGGATCATCTCTCCTGGCCTACATTTTGCAGAGCCCTTAGATCTGGTGTGGGACCCTGCCAGGGCACCAGGGTACTACTGTCACATCAGCACTTTGGGGTTTCAGTGCTGCTCCCTGTGCTCTGGAGTTGTAAAACCTCACTTCAGCCTTTTCACCAGCCACTCTGGGATGGAAGGGCAGGGGTCAGAAATGCAGGGATGTTTTGGGCACTCAGCGAGGCTGTACCAGCAGCATGGGAGTTGGGATGAATTTCTGGAGTGAAAGTTTTCCACAAAATGCCATTTTTGAGTGTATTTTCAGGACTGCTGCATCACAAGGGGGACAAAACAAACTTCTCCTCGAGGTTTGGCCAAGGCTCCATTATTGGGGTGCATTTGGACACGTGGCACGGGACACTCACGTTCTTCAAGAACCGCAAGTGCATAGGTGAGAGCCAGGGATGGGGTGGGAGGAACTGGGGTCTGGCTGCAGCAGAACACACTGGGAAAGCAGAAGAGTGAAGTGAGTGGGAGGAAGGTCACGTTTGTTGTTATATAGATCGGGATTTTGGAAAGCTTTTCCCAACAGCTTTGCAGTTAACGGGTTTGGGGTAGGTGGGAGGGGGGAGATCCCTCTGTCTAAACTAACGTGCCCTCCCTGGTGCTGTGCCCTGGCAGGGGTGGCAGCCACGAAGCTGCAGAACAAGAAGTTTTACCCCATGGTGTGCTCGACGGCGGCCAAGAGCAGCATGAAGGTGATCCGGTCCTGCGCCAGCCGCACGTCCCTGCAGTACCTGTGCTGCTTCCGCCTGCGCCAGCTCCTGCCCGACTACGTGGACACGCTGGAGGTGCTGCCCCTGCCCCCGGGACTCAAGCAGGTGCTGCACAACAAACTGGGCTGGGTCCTGAGCATGAACTATAGCACGTCGAAGCCTTCCTCCTCCTCGTCCTCGGGGAGCGACTCGGACAGCTCGTGCGGCTCGGATGCGGAGGCCTGCCAAAGGAAGAGGTGCAGGAGGACATAATGGCTCTGCACAGCACGTGGGTGGGGGGTCATTGTGTTGTTGCAAGGGCAGTCAAGCGTGATGCACCTCTTCCTTCTGGGGACATCCATCTGTTGGCAAAGATTTCTCCGGTGCTGTGGAAATCTTTGGCCCTGACATCCATCACAGGCAGTTAGAAGAGCTGCTGGCTCTAAGAGGTGCCAGTTCTGACACAAGAAATTTGTGGTGACGTATCTGAGCTTCGTCTCCTGACTTGCTATGGAAGCCAGCACCTCTTCCCAAAGGATCTCTCTTCTTCCTGCTGGCACAGACAATGTTTAAGAAATTGGACTTGATGACAGGAGTTGATCATCTTCATGGCTCCCTTCCAGCTCAGGATGTTCAGGCGGTCTCCTGGTTGGAATGTACTGAACTCCAGTCAGATAACAGACCTGACTCATGGAGGCACAGTCCCAGGCCAGTCCTCTCCTCTCTGTGTGTGTAGGTTTGGTGTCTGCCATGACCCCATCCCACTCTGGGGCAGCAGCTGCAGGGAAAGGGCCCCCAGAGACACTGCTGGGAGCAGGTACAGCAGCTGAGCTGTGGGGGTCTTCCTCCAGCCCCTGGGGACTTTTAATTGCTTTGCATGTTGTTTTCTGCTGCCTCTCCTCTGTCCAAGCCTGTGTTAAACTGTAATAATAAATGTAGAAGCTGTCTGTTGTTCCTCTTGGGGCCCTTGAAGGCAGGAGGCTGCAGGTGCTGGTCAGAAATAGCCTGGGCAGCAGCGTGGAGGGGAGGTTTGGGGTGCAGCAGTTGTGTGTCAGAGCTGGGGGAGGTGAAGACAGCAGAGATGCCCTTGTCTCTGCCCTGTGCAGGGCTCTTGTGCTTCCCACTGAAGCAGAAACCTGGCTGGGGTGATGTTCAGGGGAGCCAGGCTGATGCCTGTGGCTGTGCACTGGGAGGGAGGCTGTAGGGTTTATAGTGCCTCTCCTCTGGCAGGTCATGCAGATAAAAGGAGTGACCAGCACCAGCCACGGTCCCTCTGTGGGGACTAGGACAGAACCAGAACAGGGCTGGGCTTAGAGATGTGCCCCAACACAGTGGGCTTTACCACTGATATCTCATGTCACTGGGATGCCCAGAGGGTGTCACTTGTCACCTTCTGTGCTGCATTCTCCATGGGCCTTTGAGCACAGAAGAGGAGGGAACAGTTAGCACAGATGCTCTGGAAGATCCCAGTCTTCCCTGCAGGACTCAGTCCCATTGTTACAGTGAGAATCCATGACTGAGCCTTCATCCAAACATATCAGGATGGGGAAGATGAAGCTTAGAACAAACAAGTATCTATCACTTGGAAACAGAATTTGCACACACTCGGTTGTGTGCTATCTGTTCAGAGAGAGCAGTAAGGGCACTTCATAAAATCCTAGAATGGTTTGGGTTGGAAAGGACCTTAAAGTGCCTCTCATCCTACCCCTGCCATGGGCAGGGACAGCTCCCACTATCCCAGGTTACTCCCAACCCCATCCATCCTGGCCTTGGGCACTGCCAGGGATCCAGGGGCAGCCAGAGCTTCTCTGAGCTCCCTGCCAGGGCCTCCCCACCCTCCCAGGGAACAATTCCTGCCCAATATCCCATCCATCCCTGCCCTCTGCCAGTGGGGAAAAACTCATCTTCAGAGAGGCTGTGCTGGGGCCAGAGACCAAGGCTCCAGGGCAAGGAAAAGGATGGGAGAGTATTTGACTACATGAGATTATATAAAAAAAGGTTCTGACAGAGCTCCTAATCCAGTAGTTTTATATGATTAATGTTCACAAAAACAAGCACGTGCTGATAAAAATGTGCCTTCATCCGTTGGCTGAGCTGCTGTCAGAAGGGTCAGAGCATCCCAGTCCAATCCTGCTCCTGCCATTCTCAGTCAGGAACAGCAGAAAGCTCAGGGATGTGGGGGAAGGGAGAACTTGGTGAGCTCAAACAGCTCCCTGAAGGATCAGAGAGCAGAAGAGCAAGGAAGGTGTGGGGTACACCATGAGGAGAGCTTGGTGTCCTGTGGAAAGCCCCCACAGCTCTGGAGTGATCCGTTTTCTGCCTGAGGGGCTGTAAGACGGCAGCAGCAGCCACTGGGACATCAAACCCAGAGCTGAGGGACAGAGCATGGGGGACAGTGGCTGCCCCAACAACCCCTGAGCTGCCCTGGCTGGGTGGGCAGCCAGAGGTATCATCCAAGGTGATGTGAGCAGGTCCTGGGAACAGAGACCACAGCAGGGAGAGGCCTGGGAGGGCCAACAGGAGGGTGAGCAAATACTGCTGGAACAAGGCTCTGGCTTAATCACACACCCAGAGACAAGGCTTGCTTCCCTGGGGAACTGGTGGCACATGCAGGGCTTGGTTGCTCCATCAACACAGAGCTTTTAGTGAAGATTCCCATGACAGCCCTCCCTGCCCTTGTCCTCCAAGCTTTAACAGGCCACGGAGGGCTTTGAGGGCTCACCTGTAGCAGGGAGGGGTTGTTTCTACTGTAGCTGCTGCTGCTGCAGGGCTGACTCTGTTCTACTGCTGGAATTGTCACTTCCACACCTGCCAGAGTCCTGGGTTGTTTTTCTCCTCTTGCAAGCCCTGACCCTAGAAGGCAGGAAGGAAACTCCTGCAGCTCCAGCTGTCTTCTGCAGAAAGAGCTGGGAGCAAGGCCTGGGGCTGCTGTGTGCCCAGACCCCAGAGTGTGCAGCCCTCCCCTCGATGTCTTGGGAAGGCTGACCTGGATCAGAGACCAGACAGAGCTAAAGGATAAAGGAGGGATTTCTTAGGCCTCAATGGATCCATCTTGGGCAGCACAAGAACCCAGCCAGGGCTACACCCAAGATGAACCCAAAATGGTCACAAAATGCCCCACCAGTCACGGGGTCTCTCACTTTTATAAGTTCTGGTCCATTTGCATATTGGAGTTAATTGTCCAATTACAGCTCCAGCCCATGAAGTCCCATCCTTCTTGTTTTTCTCTCTTCAGTCCATGTTGTTTCTGCTCTTGGGCCTGAGATTTGGATCATTTGTCCTTGGTGCCCAGCTAGAGCAGGAATTGTTTTGTTTCCCTACTCTGTGCAGAGAGCTTACTACCTGCTAATATGAAGCTCAGAGCTACACACTAAAGCAGCAGAGAATCTGAAAAATACAAAAGCTAAAACCTGAAGCATCACCCTGGCATTAAGCTCTGGGCTTCTTCTAAAGCCTCTTTCTGCCAAGGGCTAATATTTTTTCCCCACTCAATCTTCTTTCCTTTCCTGGACATCTCCAGAGCACAGAGGTGAAAAGATTTTCCTAAGGTCATCTTCCCTCCTTCCCTCGTGCTGAGTCACCACTGCATTCACCATGAGAACAGATTTTCATCTGCAGAGACTCAAAGGATCTTGAGACACACAAATAATCTGGGCCCTTCCACTGACAGCATCAAGGACAGGCTGGCAGGCACAGACAAACATTCCTGTAACTTTCACTGAGGTTTCCCAAAGCTCTGGGCTTGGGATGTGAGGGAAATAACTCACTTGTCCAGGTGTTTTGTTGTTGCCCTCGTCAGAGAGGTGCTGGCCAAATTGCTGCTACACACAGCACTGTGGCTGCAGCACCCAGAGAAGTGAGAGGTGAAACATCGACCAAGGTTCGGGTGAGCCAGGATGGCCTGAGGGTCTCACCCTCTTCAGCCCTGGGAGTGGCCAAAAAAACAGTGGTTTTACTTCCTGATATGGCTTAGCGGGCACAGTGCTGTTTGGTCAAAGGTTGCACTTGATCTTGGAGGTCTTTTCCAACCTTAAGGATTCCCTGAAAGCACATGGGATGGACACTTCCCTGGGCGAGATGAGACCGGGCTGGCCCGGCAGGGGAGGGAGCCGGGATGGGAGGGCAGGGAGCGGGGTGGGAGAGGAGGGAGCCGGGATGGAGAGGCAGGGAGCTGGGATGGGAGGGCAGGGAGCGGGATGGGAGAGGAGGGAGCCGGGATGGCGGGCAGGGAGCCGGGATGGAGGGGCAGGGAGCCGGGATGGCGGGGCAGGGAGTTGGGCTGCCCAGAGCTCTTTACCCACCTGCTGCAAAGCTGCTCATCTTTCTTAGCTCCCTGTAAGCCATGCCTCCTAACCCTCTGGGGCACATTCAGGCAGGGCAGGAATTTAGTTCAAGGGATATCAAGCCAGGGTTTAGATGGTGTTTGACCTACTTTGTGACTGCTGTGGCATCACAAGGAGCGCTGCTGGGGGACACAGGCTCTGCAAGGCAGGGAACTGAGGGAGAACCAACAGCCCCTCTCACAGCTGAGCGAGCTGGTGCTGGATTTGGAGAGGGGAGGCTGTGTTCAGGCCCCTCTGAATGAGAGGCTCCAAATACTGCCTCAAAGTTTGCAGTTCCTCCTCAATCCCACTGCCAGCCAGGGTGAAGGTGTAAGCAAGTGGATGCAGCCAGATCTAAGGCAACCACCACCTCCCTGGCAAAGCATTCCTTCACGGAACTCACACATGTGGGACTTTGCCATCAGCACAACCCAAGTGACAGAAAGCTTCAAGGACTGTGTTTTACCTCCAGTATCTCCTCGTGAGGCAGAGGAAGCTGCTTGGGAGCTGGGGCTCTGCATTGCCAGGCTCAGGGGCTGCTGAGCCCTGCCCTGGGCACGGGGCTCATGCAGGAGCCCCAAACACACTCACATTTGCTGTCTGCAAAGAGGGAAAGGCCAAGCTTAGTCCCACATCTGCCACCTCTGATCTGACCTGCAGCTGGAAATACAGGTGTGGCAGCAGCTTCCCTGTGAGTGAGAGACCACCAAACCATGGTGAGACCCACTGGCTGCCTCTGCTGGCGGAACTCCATAGGCCACAGCTGGGTTTTTATACAAAAACATTTATCCTCACAGGTTTAGGTGAGGAGCTGAGGAGGTGGTGAGACAGGAGCTGTCCCTGAGAAATCATTCTGATGCTCCAAGGGCTGGAGCCCCTCTGCTCTGGGGCCAGGCTGGGAGAGCTGGGGGTGCTCACCTGGAGAGGAGAAGGCTCCAGGGAGAGCTCAGAGCCCCTTGCAGGGCCTAAAGGGGCTCCTGGAGAGCTGGAGAGGGACTGGGGACAAGGGATGGAGGGACAGGACACAGGGAATGGCTCCCACTGCCAGAGGACCGAGATAGGTGGGATGTTGGGAAGGAATTGTTTCCTGGGGAAGCCCTGGCACAGGGTGCCCAGAGCAGCTGTGGCTGCCCCTGGATCCCTGGCAGTGCCCAAGGCCAGGCTGGATGGGGCTTGGAGCAGCCTGGGACAGAGGGAGCTGCCCCTGTCCATGGCAGGGGGTAGAATGAGATGGGCTTTGAGGTCTCTTCCAACTCAAACCACTCTGGAATTCTATGAAATACTCCAGACAGAACAGGACAGACCAAGCTGCTGCAGCTGCATCTGTGCAGGAGTTTTGGATGTGATCTCAGCATCAGCACAGAGGAGACTCCTCTGCTGTGCACCTACAGGACAGGAAGGATTGGGAGCAGCACACCAGTGACACACTCAGAGCCCACGAGAAGGGCTCCATGCCGTGGACATCTCCCAGGGCACTGAACAGCAGCCAGTGTCCTGCTGCCCTCCTGGCTCACCTCCAGGGCATCAGCACCCAGCTCCTCACTGGCACTGCCTATTCCAGCCTGTCCTTCTCTGACCTTGGATGGGACTGGACGGACTGGAATTTCTCAGAGAAGAAGCCCAGGCTGCCCAGACAGGTACAAATAAAATGCTGTAGCACTGCACTGAAGTGAGAACTAACATAAACCTCTGCTTCAAAGTGCAAGTGTTTCCCTGGGCTGTGGACCCTGAGTGTTTCTTTCCAGGAAATCTTTCATAAACTCGATGAGAATGGAAAAGCCAAATGCAAGGAAAGGCAAGGTTTGAGCTGCTCCCTCTGAGGAAACATCACCTGTCCTGGGGTTAGAGATATATCCCTGGAAACCTTCTGTTATACTCAGCTACTCCCAGTTTTCAGAGCATCCCTCTCTGTATCAGAGCTTTGTTCCAGGGTGGAGCAATGGCACTTTGGAATAGATCCTCATCTGTTCCATGTTCCCTTGCTGTGGAGCATTTTCTGTAGCTCTGGTTCTGACATCTGTATCCCTGTGTCCAGCAAAAGGTGCTTCAGGAAATCTTCTGGCTCTACCAACCCCTCTTTATCCTGAAAGGTGAAATATTTCCAGCAGGATCAGTAGTCCAGGATGAAAGTAGACAGGTCTGCACCTGTGCAGAGCCCACACTGTGAGAGGCAACAACACTCCAGGCTGTGCCAATGCTATGCTGGTGAAAAACCACAGCTGAACTGAAATGTGAAAATCCTCCCCAAACAAGCAAAAAGGTGCAAAAAGAGCCCGAGAAGGAAGGCAGCGCCAACTGCAGAAGTTGCTGAGTGTGATGAAAGGAGACAAAAAGCCTTTGTCTGCACTGCACAGTGCTGGATGGCCACCTTATCTGCACCTACATGCTCTGGAGTCTCTTACATAACCACAGGATCTGCAATGTTCTATCCAGCAGGAGCAAAAATAGAGTTCTGCCTCCGCCTGAAATTCCTGCAGTGGGGGCGAGCAGGGGAACAGCCCCTCCCAGCCTCCCCTGCCACTCTGGGATCCTCCACACTCAACCTTCCCACTGAAATGGGAATGTGTCTGGTGCCAGAAGGTACCTGGCCTTTCAGGCTCCCAGTGAGGGGTTCAAAAAGTGATCACTGGGCTTTCCAAACAAGGCAGCAAATTTGTTCAGCCCTTCCAGATGTGCAGCTGCTGCCTGTGGCACCATTCCATGCACACATCTGGGATGGGAATGCTGAGCACCCAAGTGAAAGCTCTGCAGGAAGGATCTGTAGTCTCAATCTTGCTTACTGCAGCTTCCTGTGCTCACCCTAGATACACACCTGCCTAAAACTGCCTAAAAAACTGGCTCAGGAAGAATCTGCCCAGGAATCAGACCCAGCTCCATTTCCTAAGCCACCTGGAAATCAGTAATCCACATTTCTGGGAATCCCAGAGAGGGAAGTCAAAGACTTCTCCCCACAGCACAGCATTGTCAGAGAAGATGAGAAGGACTCACCCAAGCAGAGAGTGTTTGACATGTTTCTCCTCCAAGTTCTGCTGCAGGGAAGTGCCTGAGACTCCAAAGAACATTTACAGTCCAAGGAAATGAAACCTTCACCCAAGTGCCCGCACCAGGATCTTTGAGGAGACCTGTGGAGAATGACAGAACAACACTGGTATGAGCAAATGAGGTGTTTCATCAGCATTGAGAAACAACAGAAATAAAACAAGTGTGAAATGAGGGATGCTGCCTGTGTGGAAGTCTGGCTGCCTGCAGCACACACGGGTGCTGGCTGGGCTGGGGACTGAGCTGCTGACTTCATCACTTACACCTCTGCAGGAACATTGAAAAGGGTCCTAGAATAAATGTTTTTAAATTGACAGAAACATCACTATTTTTGAATTAGCCTTCTATGAAGGAAGACTGAGATCAGCCATCTGGCTGGAGTTAGGAAGCTGGGTTTCACCACCACACTCCTGTGTGGAAGAGGTTTTACAGTGACTTCTGTGAGCCAGAGAGAAGTTTGATCAGAGGATCCATGTTTACCTCTGAAAGAATTTCCTACCACGGTCATTGACACAGAAACCAAGAAAGAAGGAAGGATAAATAAGAGAAATCTGCAACTGCCTATTCCAATGAGCACTTTGTTTGTCTTTCCTGACCAATGAGTAAAGTGTAAACTTTTGAGTCTTGTAAGGATGTATAAAAATGATGCATACTAAAATAAAAGCAGGGTTTGAAGCCTTCTGAAAATTGAGTGTTGCTTTGTATTGTCTCAATTACGATGCTCCTGCACATCAGGACACACACAGCTGTCACCGGCAGCATATGGAGAATGAGCTCTTCATTAGTGGCTCTGTGAGCAGCTAAACGAGACCTGACACCATCTATTAGGCACCTTCCTCAGAGTCCTCTGCAACCTTTCCAAACCTGTGAGGGCTGTTTCCCTGCACTTGATAACCCAGATGGGATTTGTTTGAGATATTCCAACAAAATAGCCCGGCTGTCCCTAAGAATACGAGGGGAGGGCTGACAACGCTGCTTGTGCACCTGAAAATTCCAGCCTTGTTTCAGGGCAGCCGAGGGCTGGGAGCTGCTCCGCGCTGCCTGCGCTCCCTCTGCCGGCACCGGGGCTCCGGGAGCAGCCCCGGGAACATCCCCAGCACCGCCCTCGCCTCCCGAGCAGTGCCCGCGGCTCCACAGCGGGCAGAGTTTATCCCACAAAGGCTTTCCCACCGCCGCAGAAACAACCAGCGCAGCGCGGCTGTGTGGAGCCAACGAGGTCAGCTTTCCTCGGGAAAATCCAGGCTCTGACCTCCAGGCTACAGCCACAAATTGTTTATTAGTACAAACGCAGGAATAATTTACTCAAAACGATGTTGGATAAAGCATCTGGATCCCTGCTGTTTGGAGCGGACCCCCGCGTGTCCCAGCCAAGAGCTGAACCGAGGAGAAGGAGCAGAACAGCGTCTCTGAACACGAGGAGCAGGATGGAAGCGGACCCAGCACTGCGTGAGGCACCCCAGCAGCTCTGGCAGCAAAGCCAGCCCTCCACAGGGCAGCTGGCACAGGTATTTCATGGGCTGGTGTTTCCAGGGGCTGGTTTTGGAGGGAGCTGAACTAAGAGGTGAGTTCCTGAGAGCAGGGAATGGAGCCCTGGAGCGCAGTCCATGCCCTTCCTAAGCCCCTGAGGCTGAGGCGGCGTTAAGAGCCGGCCTTAGGGCCCAGAAGGAAGGCAGCAGCAGCATGTGCTCCGCACGGAGCAGCTCCCCAGCCCGGCGGGGCTGCAGCTCTGCCCGGGCCAGCTCAGAGCTCCCCTTCCTGAGCTCCCTGCCCAGCCGGAGCTCGGTACCGCAGCAGCTGCCCCATAACCGGACTGCTCCAACCACGATCAGTGTGCAGTGACAGAGCAGGGAAAACAGTCTGATAACCACCCGGGACGCTGTGGCCGGGCCGGCGGCGCAGGGCAGCTCCGAGCCCGGCACACCCCGGCCCGGTGCGGCCCGGCACGCCCCGGCCCGGCACACCCCGGCCCGGTGCAGCCCGGTGCAGCCCGGCACACCCCGGCCCGGTGGAGCCCGGCACACCCCGGCCCGGTGGAGCCCGGCACGCCCCGGCCCGGTGGAGCCCGGCACGCCCCGGCCCGGTGCGGCCCGGCACACCCCGGCCCGGTGCGGCCCGGCACACCCCGGCCCGGTGCAGCCCGGTGCAGCCCGGCGCACCCCGGCCCGGTGGAGCCCGGCACACCCCGGCCCGGTGCGGCCCGGCACACCCCGGCCCGGTGCGGCCCGGCACACCCCGGCCCGGTGCGGCCCGGCCCGCCCGTGGCCATGGGAACGCCGCCCGGTGTCCCTGTGTCGCGATGTTCCGCGGGGGCGGTGACAGCGCGGGGCAGCACGGCCCCTTTCAGAGCCGCCATGATCTGCCTGGTGCTGGGGCTCTTCGCCGGCCTCTTCCACAGCGGTACGGGGCGGGACGGGACCCCGGGCCGGCTCTGAGGGATCCCCACTGCCCTTGTGGCCCTTGTGCCTGCGGGCCAGGACCTCCCTCCCTTCCCCGGAGAGACCCCGCGGCCGAAGGGCTGAAGGGCTGAAGGGCCGGGCCGGGCCCCCGCGCCCTCCGCGGCCGGACCGCCCTGCGCTGCCTGCGGGAGCCTGGGCACGCCCTGGTCCCGCGGCTGAGGGCCCGCGACCCCCTCCGACCCCCCGTGCCCGCTCGCCTGAAGGCCCGCGGCCGTCCCCTTCCCCCCTCAGAGCTCTGCCCTGTCCCTGCAGCCTTCGGCGGGGTCCATGAACGAACCTTCGTGGCCATCAAACCGGACGGGGTCCAGCGGCGCCTGGTCGGGGAGATCATCCGGCGCTTCGAGAGGAAGGGGCTGCAGCTGGTGGGGATGAAGCTGCTGCAGGTGAGCGGCTGGGCCCACCCAGGCTGGGGGGCCCTGCAGTCGGGGAGCCCCTGCAGCCCCCCAAGCTTCGGCTGCACTGGTAATTGCTGGGGGTTCTGCCTGTCATCCGGCCCCTACAACCTGCTGCTGTCATTCCAGCAGCAAATCCCCGCAGCTCAGAGGAGAGTTGGCACTGGGAGGGGCGATTCCAGCTGTGGGGAGCATGTCTGCCCTTGCTGTGCTGTCCTCCAGGGCTGTCACTGTAAGCTGGCAGCTGGAAACTCCTCTCTGTGTCAGGCTCCTGCTGTTTCACTCCTGGAACTGAGCATCTGTGCAAGAGCTTAATTCTCTCAATTTCCTGCATCCCTGAGGCGCAGCCGTTGCCCAGTGCCCCGTGTGGGAGCAGACTAAGCTCTGTGCTCTGTGCAGGCCTCGGAGGAGCTGCTGAAGGAACACTACATCGCCCTGCGGGACCGTCCCTTCTACAGCCGCCTGGTGAAGTACATGAGCTCCGGGCCCATCGTGGCCATGGTGAGTGCTGGCCGGGGCCCTGGGCCAAGGAACAGGGACAAAGTGCGAGATGTGAGCAGCAGTGCCTGTTGGCACAGTGGAATTAAAGTGATACCTCCCCTCAGAGGGTCTCTTGAAGCTGTACTGAACTGCAGAGATGTTTTCTGTTGTAAATTAAATCATAGAACAGTTTGGGTTGGAAGGGACCCTAAAGGTCTCGTTCCACCCCTGCCATGGCAGGGGCACCTTCCACTAGACCAAGGTTGCTCTAAGCCCCATCCAGCCTGGCCTTGAGCGCTTCCAGGGATGGGGAGAAATCCACAGACAATTTGGATTATTTTCCAAAATCAACTTTGGAAGAATAATTTGGAGAGCCCCTTTGCTGTCAGCTGCGTGGATCTGGTGGGGAATTCAGAGGGCAGATGTGACCTGCTGGGGCAGCTGTGGAAGTTGATCCTGGTTTTGCTCTCCTGTAGGTCTGGCAGGGCCTGGATGTGGTGAAGACAGTTCGCACCATGATCGGGGAGACCAATCCAGCTGAATCCAGGCCTGGCACCATCCGAGGAGACTTCTGTGTTGAAGTCAGCAAGTGAGAGCTTTGACTTCTTCTTCCCTCAGTGCTTCAGGGCATCCTGTCCAAGCATTCCTGTACCAGGCCTTCCTGAGCCACATGAATCTGCATTCCCAGAGCAGAAGTTCTCCCTTTTGTGCTCAGACCAGAGCTGAGCTCTGCTTCCCAGGGTTGGCTTTAATAGGAAGAAAAGCCTATGTTGTGTCTTTCCTTCCTCCTGAGTCCCCTGTTGAAAGCAGGAGGGCTTTGCCTGTTTTCCTCTGGTAATTGGGACTGTCAGGCTGTGAAGGGGAAGGGGACTCCCACTCAGTCCTTTCGTGGGAGCAGGTGAATATCCATGGGTGGTGACCTTGGGTGGCCCCAGCTTGGCTTGTGGTAGACACAGCTCTTACTGAACCATCCTGGTCTGGATCTGTTTCCTGGTGCCTGATACAAAACCTGCTTTGATGGAAGGGGGAAAATCTGAAGGCACAGATGGAATCACTGACATTAAAAATGTACATCCCAGAGCTGCAGCCACTTGCAGCTCCTCCTGTAGCAAACAAAAGGTTCCTCAGCATAGGAGGGCGAGTGCTGGGAACTGGCACTGCTGGAAGGATGAGTGGTGTGGGATAGGAGGGGATATTGTGGGACAGGACTGGCTCCATCGCTTTAATGAAATTGGTCAAGGGGGAATTTTGCAGGCTGCAGCATCTCTCTCTCACCTTTCTCCCTCTCTCCTTGCCCACAGGAACGTGATCCATGGCAGTGACTCGGTGGACAGTGCCCGGCAGGAGATCTCGCTCTGGTTCCGCCCCGAGGAGCTGCCGTGCTGGGAGGACACGGCTGCACACTGGATCTACGAGTGAGCAGCAATCCCAAGGGAAGTTATCTTCCTGCTGGGACACAGCACACTTCCATCCATTTCATGGCAGCTGCTGGGGCTGGCTGCAGATCCTCTGTGGGATTCCTCTTGTGTCTGTGGGATCCTGGCAGCTGGGCTGTGTGTGGAACTCTGGTTCAGCTCCTGCCAAGGGGAGCTTTCCTTTTTTTCTCTCTTTGCTCTAGTAATTAGTTGGTATTGTTGCTCTGTTTGCTGCAGCATCTTAAATCCCAAGTAGCTCAAGCTGATTAATTGTAGCAAAACGTGGGCTCTTGGCCCATTCCTGGGTGTTCTCATCCCTGCCTGGAGCAGGAGAATGTGTTTTCCTTGCTGCTGGGAGAGGTGCTGGTCACGAGGTGATGGGCTTGACAATTTAACTGCATTTCTAGAAGGCTTTTCACCAAAGGCTCTTAAAGAATTGGGCTGCTGTAGGAGAAGGGAGCAAACTCTCATTTTGGAGTTTATTCCAAGACAAGGAATGCAGGATGGGACAATTCTCTCTCCCTTGGTGGGAGTTCTGTGTGCTCGGACTGGCAAAAGCTCACCCAGTTACAGACGTGCTAGTCCATGGAAGGAAGATTCTCCAAATGCTGCTAAATGCACAATTCCTCAGGCTCTGCTTCCTGGGCTGGATTCCAGTAGCTGCTGGGAGTGGGAAGCAGCTCCTTCAGGCCTGCTCTGGTTCTCTGGGGCTGCATGGCCCTGACCCAGCCTGACACCAGACTGTCCCTCCATGGTCACTGATGTGAGGCAGCAGCACTGGGGCAGCCCAGGAATGGAAGGGAGAGAGGGAGGCTGGAAGGATTTGTGGATCTGGGGCTCAGGAAGGACTGTTTAGGGGAGTATTTACTTCTCTCTTGTGCACAGCAGAGGCTGTGGAGTCCTAGCACTGAGCTCTGGCAGGTCTTGAGATCTTCCTTGTCCCCCTGAGAGCTTGCAGAGGAGCTTTTCTGCTGGGAGGGTGTCTGGAAACCAGTTTGTAACAGGCTGGACACCCCTGTGAGCTGTCCCTTGGCCACCCAGCTCCTCAGAGTTGTGCTGTGTCTGAGCTCCCTGTGCAGCCTCACCAGAGCAAAAGGACAGGGACAGTGACATGGAGTCCTGCCATGGAACAGGGACACGGATGAACTGAGGGAACAAGATCCCCAGGACTTTCCTTGTGCAGGATGAGTTTGACCTGTGCCCTAAAAGCCTGTCCCCGTGGGTCCTGAACTTTGTAGGTGCTGGGGAATGAGGGCAGCTCTTAGGGAGCAGAGTGAAGTCACCACCCCCTCCTGCTCTGTGCTGGTCCCAGGGTGGTGGGGCTGAGCAGGGCAGGGTTGGGAGGTCTCCCTCCAGGGAGTGGGGCTGTCCAGCTGCCTCAGCCAAGGCTCCTCCTGCCTTGGGGCCTTCTCCACGCACCTGTGTCCAGCTCTAAATACCTGACAGGTCCAGTTTGTTCCTGGAACTTGTCCACTTGGCTGAACTTGGAGTCTGGCTGCAGCAGGGCTGCAGGAGAAGGCGCTGGTGAAGACTGAGGTGTGAAGCCAGTGGGAGGAAGGCCACGTTTGTTGTTTAACTGATGCATTGGGAAGAGCTGTTGGCACCAAGAACTGCCATTTCTGACACAGGAAAACTCTGCCCAAATAGCTGAGCTTCATCTCCTGCCGTTGCCTCTTCCTGAAGGTTCCCTGTCCTCCCTGTCTACACAGATTTAAGATGCCTCCCAGTTTGAAAGTGCACTGAACTCCAGTCAGATAACAGACCTGACTCATGGAGGCACAGTCCCAGGCCAGTCCTCTCCTCTCTGTGTGTGTAGGTTTGGTGTCTGCCATGACCCCATCCCACTCTGGGGCAGCAGCTGCAGGGAAAGGGCCCCCAGAGACACTGCTGGGAGCAGGTACAGCAGCTGAGCTGTGGGGGTCTTCCTCCAGCCCCTGGGGACTTTTGCTTTGTATGTTGTTTTCTGCTGCCTCTCCTCTGTCCAAGCCTGTGTTAAACTGTAATAATAAATGTAGAAGCTGTCTGTCGTTCCTCTTGGGGCCCTTGAAGGCAGGAGGCTGCAGGTGCTGGTCAGAAATAGCCTGGGCAGCAGCGTGGAGGGGAGGTTTGGGGTGCAGCAGTTGTGTGTCAGAGCTGGGGGAGGTGAAGGCAGCAGAGATGCCCTTGTCTCTGCCCTGTGCAGGGCTCTTGTGCTTCCCACAAGCAGAAACCTGGCTGGGGTGATGTTCAGTGGAGCCAGGCTGATGCTGCAGCACCACACGCTCATAGCAGCAGGAACAGCAGGGTCTGTGCTCCTGCAGGACTCACAAAATTCAGAATAGTTGGGGTTGGAAAGGACCTCTGGAGATCATTCAGTTCCCTGTCAGAGCAGAGTCTAAGTGGAGCAGCCATCACAGGAATGTGTCCAGGTGGGTTTGGAATGTCTCCATGCCCTCCCTGGGCACCTGCTCCCGTGTTTTGCCACCCTCAGTGTAAAGAAATTGTTCCTCATGTTGAGGGGGGACTTCCTGTGTTTTAGTTTCTGGCTGTTGTTCCTCCTCCTGTTGCTAAAAACATTGAAGAGCACCAGCACCAGCCCTCGAACAGAGCCCTGTGTATACAGCCCCACTGGTCACTGTCCTTTTTCCCTGCCCTGGAAAATCTAGTTCCATGGGATTTATGGGATTTTTCTCCCCCTTTCCCTGGATTTGGAGGGGTCTCCTTTCCTTCCAGCCTCATCCCAGACTTTGCTGCTGTATCCAGCCACCCAAATCAGGGGATTTTTGGATTTTCCTGCACATCTGGATGTCCCAGCCCCTTCCCCAGCATCCCTGGAAATTCCAGGAAAACCGGGCTGGATACAGGGAAAGCCATTTGGGGCCATTCCTGATGTGACCCCGTTTACTGTAATCCTTTGAGCTTGGCCTGGCACTGCCTGCTCACCCATGTAAAGGGACAGTTTATCCAAGAGAGTGTTAGAGATGGTAACAAAAGCTTTGCTAAAACCCCAAACCCACCACATCTACCATCTTCCCTTGGTCAGCACAGAGATGACTGACACAGCTGGGAGGAGGGGCTGAGACCTCAGAGGGTTGTGTGGCCCTTCAGAGGGACCTCGACAATGGCAGGGGGCAGAGAGGAACCTTTTGGAATCCAGCACAGGCCAGAGCAGGGTCCTGCATCTGGGGAGGAACAGCCCCAGGCACCAGGCTGAGGAAGAGGGTGACACCGACTTGTTCTGGCCAGCCCAGGGGCCAAGGGGGGTTCCTGGGGGGTGTGAGGGAGGGGAGGGGATCCTGCCCCTCTGCCCAGCCTGTGAGGCACACCTGGAATGCTGTGTCATGACAGGAGGGACATGGAGCTCCTGGAGCTGCTCTGGTGGAGGCTGTGAGGATGCTGAAGGGTTTGGAGCATCTCCCTGTGAGGAAAGGCTGAGGGAGCTGGGGCTGCTCAGCTGGAGAGGAGCCCCCAGCCCTGGGTGTCCCTGTCTGTCCCTGTGTGTTCCCGTCTGTCCCTGTGTGCAGGGAGGGGCAGGGCAGAGCCAGGCTCTGCTCCAGGGCCCAGCAATGGCACCAGAGCCACGGGCAGTGACTGAGCCCAAGAAGTCACAAATGAACATGACAAAAAACTTCCTTGTACGCTGGAACAGGCTGCCCAGAGAGGGAGTGGAGTGTCTGTTGCTGGAGATACTTCAGCACTGTCTGGACACACCCTGGGCTGACCCTGCCTGAGCAGGCAGCTGGGACCAGATGAGCCACTGTGGGTCCTTCCAGCCTGAACCACTCTGTGACTCTGGGGAGTCAGTGCCTGAGCTTCTCACAACTGGAGTTAAGCAGATGAAGCAGGACCTCCCCCCTGTGAGCCCACACTGGCTGTGACTGCTGCCTGGGTTGTCTCTCAAGGGGTTTTCAGCAACTCCCTAAATAACCTCCAGGATTTCAGCAGACACTGAAGTGGGATGGACGGGCTTGTAGGATGTAGGGTCTTCTTCCTTAACTCTGCTTGAGAACTGGGACATTTAGCACCTTCCACTCAACAGAGACCTGTCCAGAGTCCCCAAACCCAAAAATAACGGAGAGGTCCCAGGATGACACAGGTCAGCTCTGTCAGTGCCTGGGATGGATCCATCCTGTCCTGTCCAGCTGGAGCAGCCAGGCCTGAACAGGTCCAGGGTCTGCTGGGAGTTTGTCATCTCCAGCCAAGGTCTTCCAGCACAGGCCTGCAGCCTTACCCACACGAGCCACTGTTTCGATACATTAGATTACTCTCTTGCCCGTTACACACATTCCCTACGCTGCATTTCATTCTATGGAAGAAACCTGAGCTTGTTTCATGACGTGAGAGGCAGGACGGAGGCAGCTTCCTGGAGGCTTCGCGCCACTGCTTCCTCTGCGGCTGCACCAAACACCACTGGGCGAGTGAAGCGGCCTCGGGCAGGTTGTCCGGGCGCTCCCGGCCGCACCTCCGCCGCTCCCTCAGGGGCCGCCGCCATCTTGCCGCCATCTTGCCGCCGCGCGCGGGCCGCCGGGACGGGGCGGTGCCGGCGGCGCTGATTGGCCCGCCGTGATCACGTGGCGAGGGGAAGCCGTCCGCGAGCCTTTCCCGCGAGGTGTGGCCGCGGCGGCGGCCGCTGATTGGTGGCGGTGCGAGGCGTGGTCGCCGGAGCCGTCGCTGATTGGCCGCGGCGCGCGCGGCCCGGCGCGAGGGCAGCACCGCCCACGTGACGCGGGCGCGGGCCCGGAGCGGCGGCGGCGGCGGCTCCGTCCCGCCGGTGGTGAGTGAGGGCGGGCGGTGAGTGAGGGCGGGCCCGGCGCTCCCCTCCGCTCCCCTCCGCCCCGCGGCCGCGCTCCTGCGCCCGAGCCGCCTTCCCGCGCCCCGCTCGGCCACCCAGCCCCGCTCGGCCCAGGGATACCGCCGAGCGGGCCTCCGTGCAGCGGAGATCAGGCGGCCCGAGCGCAGCCCCGGCCCCGGGAGGGGCAGCACAGCCCGGTGTTTGTGCCCCGGGCTCCTGGGCCGCGTCAGAGCGAGTGTGGCGGGCTCGTTCTGTTTCCCCGGTGCTGGATTTCCTTCAGCCCTTACAAGCGGAGCGCTGTGGCGTGAGGAGAGAGAGCTGCAGTGGAACTGAGGGATAGCGAGGAACTCCCAGTGCTGGAGCAAGACTGGTACAAGGATTGACTTTTTCTTTCTTCCTTTCTTTCTTTCCTTTTTCTCTCTAACGATTGCAGCAAGCGCTCGCAGCACGGCCCTTTGTCACTTCCCGGGCAAGCTCCAAAAGCAAAGCCCTTGTTGTGCTGTCAGCATCCCGAGTGATCCGCGGTGAAACCCCTCGGTGCGCCCGCCAGACCTTTCCTGCTGCGATGGGAACGATGCCGTGAGGGCTGGCAGGGCCGGGCCATAGCCATGACAGAGCCCCACCGGGTGTCGTTCACCACTCTGCACGGGCCCCTGAGCAGCAGCTTCCTCAAGAGGTCTCGCAAGGACGAGGCAGAGCAGCCCCCGGAGCCGGAGCCGGCGGCCACGGCCGTGCGCATCACTCTGACCCTCTTCGAGCCCGACCACAAACGCTGTCCCGAGTTCTTCTACCCAGATCTCCTCAAGAGCTGTCGGGGGAAAGTAAAAGGGGGTTCTTCAGGTGATAAGGTAAGTGTCCCTGGGGGGCTAGGGGAGCCTGGGTTGTAGCTGAAGGTCTCAAGGGTTCTGAGAGTTGGGTATGTGTTTGCTGTGAGGTGGGAGGAGGAGAACTGACCCCCAGGCTGGGGCTCTTGTTGTCAGGACACACTGTGTCACTCCTTTGCCCTGGCTGGAGGTTGGTGTTGGGAGGGTGTTGTGCTGGTGGCAGGAGTGGGATGTGATGCTCCTTCAGGTCGGGGTGGCTGGATCTAAAGTGAGTTTTGGTACCTGGGTGGCTGGCAGGGACAAAGAGCTGTTTTCCAAAGAGCACCAAAGGAGACATGAATGAAAACTCCTGTAGCATCTAAAGTTTGAGTTAGGAATGTTTGTCTATGAAAAGAAACTTACTGGATTCTGTTCCTTTTATTGTTTGCCTTGAGGACTGTTAGCAGTCAGTTGATGTTTTATGCCACTTAATTTTGGTTTTTTGTTTTGTTTTTGAGGGTTGGGAGGAGCAGAATAGGTAGAAAAGCAGAGCTAGGAGAGTACCCAAACCACAGGGACACTCTCAGAATCCCAGCAGAGTTTGACTTGCAAAGGGCCTTAAAGCTCATCCCATTTCAGCTCCTGCCATGGGCAGGGACACCTCCCACTGTCCCAGGCTGCTCCAAGCCCTGTCCAGCCTGGCCTTGGGCACTGCCAGGGATCCAGGGGCAGCCACAGCTGCTCTGGGCACCCTGTGCCAGGGCCTGCCCACCCTCACAGAGAACAATTCCTGCCCAATATCCCATCCATCCCTGCCCTCTGGCAGTGGGAGCCATTCCCTGTGTCCTGTCCCTCCATCCCTTGTCCCCAGTCCCTCTGCAGCTCTCCTGGAGCCCCTTTAGGCCCTGGCAGGGGCTCTGAGGCATCCCTGAGCTGAGCACCCCCAGCTCTCCCAGCCTGACCCAGAGCAGAGGGGCTCCAGCCCTTGGGGATCTCCCTGGGCTCCCCTGGACTCTCTCCAGCAGCTCCAGGTCCTGCTGCTGTTGGCCCCAGGGCTGGAGCAGCTCTGCAGGTGGGGTCTCACCTGAGGGGGCAGAGGGGCAGAATCCCCCCCTGCTGCCCCTACCAGGGCTCAGCCCAGCCCAGGGGGGTTTCTGGGTGCTCATGGCTGGGACAAGTCCAGCTGTCACCCACCAACAGCCCAAATCCTTCTTCCAGGGCTGCTCTAAATCCCTTCATCTCTCAGCCTGGACTGATCCTGCTGGTTCCAGGGCAGCACCAGCGTTTGGCTTGGTTGGACCTCGTTAGGTTCCCATGGTCCCAGCTCTCCAGCCTGCCCAGGTCCCTCTCTATGCTCTCCCATCCCTCAGGTGTGTCAACCACACCACACAGCTGGGTGGCATCTCCAGACATGCTGAGGGTGCCCTGATCCCACTGTCCATGTCGCTGATGAAGATGTTGATCAGCACTGTCCTAAAGGTTGATTTACCTGAGCTTCTGCCCAGCTGCTCCAGTCAGGATGGGTTTAATTCCTGTGGTTTTGGTGGCAGTGTGACAGGATTGGCTGTCATTGTTTTACCCCTTTTGTTTCTGCAGAAGAAAGACCCAGCTGATCCCTTCAATGATGAGGAGAAGGAAAGGCATAAAGTGGAGGCTCTTGCTAGGAAGTTCGAAGAAAAATATGTAAGTATTTCTTCTTTAAGTTATGTTATTCTTTGGGCTGGGCAATGCTGTTCAGGTCTCAGGCAGTGCTTTAAATGCTCACTGGCTCTCGAGTTCTTGTTCTCCCCCAGTCCTTTATCCTGGCTGCCATGTGCTGGTTTTTATGTTCTTTTTCTGTCTCAGGGCTGCAAAAATAGTTCCGATTCATTTATAAATCAGATGAGTCTGATTGAAGCGAATTACACGAACTAAAGTGAGCAGCAAATCACTTACTGTGATTGATAAAATTAAGTTTTCCTTAAGCAAAAATGAATTCCTACACCTTGTTGCTGTGGCAGGATGGAATGTTCCAGGTCTCTGAGCACGGGGCTGTGATGAGTGCACTGCCCTCAGGACAGTGCTGCATGGGTCTGTCTTACCCCTGCCTTTTGTTCTTCCTTTTGCATTAGTTGGTACTAAAACCACACTGTGGATTTTATACCCTTTGGCACTTTGGGGTAGGAAGTTGTGTGTTGTTTTGTGACACAGATTTGGCCCGTGGGTCACCCTGAAACACTGTGTGTGTGTGTTTGATGTCTGTACCTGCTGGAGCACCTAGAGAAGAGCAAGCCCTGTGGAAGAGAGCCCTGGCAGGAATGTTGGAGGCATGCAGACCCTGTTCAGTGTGGGGTCTGGCTGGCAGTTTTTCATTTGGCTGCACTGTTTTGTTTCTGTATGGCAAGGCTTCAAACTGGATTTACCACACCCTGGGAGTACTGTGTGATGGGAGCCAGCCCTGGTTTGGTTCTGCTGTAGCTTTTCTGTCCTGGAGCCAGTGCTGCTGTCCTGTGTCAGGGTATCTCCGTGGTACTGGGAAAGAAAAGTGATCACAGTGTCCATGTTTCCTTGTTCAGGGTGCCAAGAGGCGCAGGAAGGACCGGATTCAGGATTTGATTGATATGGGGTATGGCTATGATGAGTCCGACTCCTTCATCGACAACTCGGAAGCTGTGAGTGCTGGGCGTGTGAGAGTGGCTGAAGGTGCTGCCTGGGAGGCTGAACCTGCTCTGGGAGCGAGCCACCAGGCTGCCAGGGCCAGGGAATGAGAGCTCTGGGGCAGCTGATGGCAGGAGATGCTGTAGGCATTCCAGCCTGCTCCTGGGGGAGCACAACCTCCTCAGTCTCCTGACCAGGGACAGCTCTTGAGGAGATGGCTGGAGCTGAGTCAGGGAGCTTGGGGTGGGGTATCAGGAAAAAGCTCTTCCCCAGGGCATGGTCAGGCACTGGAACAGCTTTCTCAGGGTTGTAGCAACAGCACCAAGCCTGTGTGAGCTCCAGAGCATTTGGACAACGCTCTCAGGGATGCACAGTTGGGATTGTTGGGGTGTCTGTGCAGGGCCAGGAGTTGGACTCAGTCCTGAGGGATCCCTTCCAACTCAGCATGTTTTGTGATTCCATGAATCCCACTGCAACTTCCAAGCAGCTGAGCTGTGGAATGAAGTAAGCAAGGTCCCAATGCCAATAAAGTGTCCTCTGTTATTTCCAGTACGATGAGCTGGTTCCTGCCTCTCTCACTACCAAGTACGGAGGGTTTTACATCAACTCGGGAACGCTGCAGTTCCGGCAGGCCTCTGAGTCTGAGGATGACTACGTCAAAGAGAAGAAGAAGAAGTGTCCCAAGGTCAGGAAGGCAGTTTTCTCAATTATTCCCTCTGTTACAGCTCAGAGCTTGCTGCATGAAAGTGTGTTAACATCCAGAGTGGGAGAGATTCCTGACTTGGTGTGGACAGAATAGGGATAGGCACTTGAAATCTCATTGTATCCTAAAATTTCTTAGTAAAATGAAGCATGTCTGGCATGGATAAGACTCTGGTGGGGTTACCTGGTTCCCAGAGAGAGGTGACAGCAGCTCCCTGTCCCCCTGGAAGTCACAGCATTATGGGGATGCTGTCAAATGCTGGAGGCAACATGTGCCAGAACCGTGGTGAGGGATGTAGGGGCATTGAGTTAATGATCCTGTGTTTTCACATTCCTGGGAGAGGTCCCAAAGTGGCTCTGGGAGTGCTGGTAATGTTGTGGGAAACTCTTTGATTGTGACTTGTTTTTAACCCTCTGCAGAAGCGGAAGTTGAAAGATGGGGGTGAAAAAATAAAGAAGAAGAAGAAAGATGATTCTTATGACAAGGAAAAGAAATCGAAGAAGTCCAAGTTTCCAAAGGCTGGGTAAGGAGGGGAGGAGGGAATTCTTGCTGCTCAGCTCCTTGTTTCAGGTTTCCAGGTGGCTGCAGTAGGAGCCTGTTGCAGTGTGGGGTGGCTCGAATGCGTTGCAAACACCAGCACATTTTCCAAACCCCTGTTGTTTCCCAGGTGGGAAAGAAAGGCAGGGGATGATCAGGAAAGGAGCACAGCTCCACAGCAGCAGTGTGTGAGCAAAGAGGGGCACAGCTGGCTGCAGGAGTGGTGTGTTTGGTGCTCTGTTTAGGCACTGGCAGTGGGAACAGATATGGAGAGGAGAGAGCAAGATAACAACTGTTGGGATGAGGCTGTGGGAGGAAAGGCAGGTGGGAAGGGCTCGGGGTGTAGAGTGTGGGGCTGGCAGGGAGGGAGAGGTTACAAGGCAGGCTGTGTAACTGCTCTCTCTGGGCAGTCCTTTGTACTCCTGCCCAAAGTATTTCTTGGATGAGTGCTCAGCTCTTTTGTAGCTTGTGGGCTGTAAAATGGAGTGGTTTTTCTTTTTGTTCTGAGTCATCTCGTGCTGTAGCTCTGTCCATGCTTTGGTCTGCCTGGCCTGTCTCTTTCAGTATCTATATCTGTTGCTTTTGCATTCATTTCCTGTATTTTCTTCCAAAGTTTTTTCCTTCTTCCTTTAACTATTGTTTATAATTTATTTTTTCCTGCATGGATCTGCTTTTGGGCAGCAGCAGCTCATGTGTCTGATGTGGTGTCATCAGTGTGTGATTCCTTCAAAATGAGCAAGGAAAGGAATTTGCTCTCCTGGTTTTAACACAGCAGAAAGCTTCACACTAGCTCTGTCCTGCCTCAGTTCCTCTGTACTAATTGTGCATTTCCCAACCTTCCTTGCTGGAATAACAATAATATCATGTAGCTGAATGAAAGCAGAGCTCTGTGGAGGTGGTTTAAGCCTCAGCACCTCTCTGCAGTGAGTCAGCTCTGAGCTGAGATGAACAGCCAGAACCTTAAGACTTTTAGAAGCTGTAAAATACTTCTTCTGGAATACTTTTTCAGGGAATTGTGCCTGAAGTGAACTGGGGGAGAGGGGACCCTCTCTGCTCCTTGATCTTGTATTCAGTTCCCTTTCCCCCTTTATACTTTGTTTGCAGCTTCACAGCATTAAATGCAAGTAAGGAGAAGAAGAAGAAGAAATACTCTGGAGCTCTCAGTGTCAAGGAGATGCTGAAGAAGTTCCAGAAGGAGAAGGATGCTCAGAAGAAAAAAGATGAGGAGCAGAAAGCGGCGACTCCTTCCCCAGCAGACCCTGCAGCCCCGAGGGAGGCAGAGGCCATGGCTGACCCTCTGCTGTCCCTCTTTGGCCACGCCAGTGACAGTGACCTGCTCCAGGCAGCCACGGCCATGGACTCCCTGAGCGAGCTGGACCTGGAGCGGCTCCTCAGCGAGTCCCCGGAGGGCAGCCCCTTCCCTGAGGTGGAGGATGGCAGCGACCCTGGCTTGGAGCAGGAGTTCAAGCAGCCACCATCCCTCCCAGAAGGGCTGCCAGCCCCCCTGGAGAAAAGGATCAAGGAACTGGCTCAGGTACAGCAGCTCCTGGGGGCAGAGGGGCTGGTAGGGGCTCCAGCTGTGCTGGGACTGTGTGATGGAGGGTCCAGCTGTGCTGGGTGTGTGTGTGTGACTGGAGGATCCAGCTGTGCTGGGAGTGTGTGTGTGTGACTGGAGGATCCAGCTGTGCTGTGTGTGTGACAGAGGGTCCAGCTGTGCTCTGTGTGTGTGTGACTGGAGGATCCAGCTGTGCTGTGTGTGTGTGTGTGAGACAGAGGGTCCAGCTGTGCTGTGTGTGTGTGACTGGAGGATCCAGCTGTGCTGTGTGTGTGTGTGACTGGAGGGTCCAGCTGTGCTCTGTGTGTGTGTGACGGAGGATCCAGCTGTGCTGGGAGTGTGTGTGTGTGACTGGAGGATCCAGCTGTGCTGTGTGTGTGATGAGGATCCAGCTGTGCTGTGTGTTTGTGACTGGAGGATCCAGCTGTGCTCTGTGTGTGTGTGACTGGAGGATCCAGCTGTGCTGTGTGTGTGTGACTGGAGGATCCAGCTGTGCTGGGAGTGTGACTGGAGGATCCAGCTGTGCTGGGAGTGTGTCACTGGAGGTTCCAGCTGTGCTCTGTGTGTGACTGGAGGGTCCAGCTGTGCTGTGTGTGTGTGTGACTGGAGGATCCAGCTGTGCTGGGAGTGTGTGACTGGAGGATCCAGCTGTGCTGGGAGTGTGTGTGACTGGAGGATCCAGCTGTGCTCTGTGTGTGTGTGACTGGAGGATCCAGCTGTGCTGGGAATGTGTGACTGGAGGATCCAGCTGTGCTCTGTGTGTGTGTGTGACTGGAGGATCCAGCTGTGCTGGGAGTGTGTGACTGGAGGATCCAGCTGTGCTGTGTGTGTGTGTGTGTGACTGGAGGATCCAGCTGTGCTGTGTGTGTGTGACTGGAGGGTCCAGCTGTGCTGTGTGTGTGTGTGTGACTGGAGGATCCAGCTGTGCTGGGAATGTGTGACTGGAGGATCCAGCTGTGCTGTGTGTGTGTGTGTGACTGGAGGGTCCAGCTGTGCTGTGTGTGTGTGTGACTGGAGGATCCAGCTGTGCTGGGAATGTGTGACTGGAGGATCCAGCTGTGCTGTGTGTGTGTGTGTGACTGGAGGGTCCAGCTGTGCTGTGTGTGTGTGACTGGAGGGTCCAGCTGTGCTGTGTGTGTGACTGGAGGATCCAGCTGTGCTGTGTGTGTGACTGGAGGATCCAGCTGTGCTCTGTGTGTGTGTGACTGGAGGATCCAGCTGTGCTCTGTGTGTGTGTGTGACTGGAGGATCCAGCTGTGCTGTGTGTGTGTGACTGGAGGATCCAGCTGTGCTGTGTGTGTGTGACTGGAGGATCCAGCTGTGCTGTGTGTGTGTGACTGGAGGATCCAGCTGTGCTGTGTGTGTGTGACTGGAGGATCCAGCTGTGCTGTGTGTGTGACTGGAGGATCCAGCTGTGCTGTGTGTGTGTGTGTGACTGGAGGATCCAGCTGTGCTGTGTGTGTGTGACTGGAGGATCCAGCTGTGCTGGGAGTGTGTGTGTGTGACTGGAGGCTCCAGCTGTGCTGGGAGTGTGTGGCAGCACCCAGGGACAGAGCACATTCCAGTGAGGAGCTTCTCAGATCCACTGGGATCACACCTTTGTGTCACTCAGTTTCCTCTGAGTGATTTTATTGAAGGCCCAGATGTCAAGTGATGTCCAAATGCTGGACCTTGTTAGCCACTGAAAGCAACTCTTGAGATCACACCTGATCAGGATTCCTTCTTTACCCCTCTCACAAAAGTGTGGACCTGATGCAAGAAGTAATTTGCAAAGTCAGTTTGACACGAATGAGATGTGAATTACTGAGGCTGGAGGGCTGCTTTGGGCTGGGATAGAGGAAATTTTCTCCACAGTGGCTGTTTTGGGACAGTTTTGAATTGTGCTGTAAAGAGAGCTGATAACCCAGGGATGTTTTTGTTCCTGTTGAGCAGGGAGTGCTCAGGCAGTGCCAAGAGCTTTGCTGCTCCTCACCCCACACTGCCAGCGAGGGGTCTGGGGGGCAGGAGGAGCAGGGAGGGGACACAGCCAGGAGAGCTGATCCCAACAGGGATGTCCCAGGGCAGGGGGGTCATGCTCAGCATATAAAGCTGGTGGAAAAAGGAGGAAGAGGGGCATGTTTGGAGTGATGGCAGCTGTTTTCCCACATGATACATGTGCTGGAGCCCTGCTGTCCATGGGAAGTGGGTAATGAATTCCTTGTTTTGCTGTGCTTGCATGGCTCTTGCTTTCCCTGTTACACTGCCTTGTCTCAGCCCATGGGTTTTCTCACTTTTACCCTTGTGATTTCTTGCCCCATCCCACCTGGGGGAGGGAGCAGCAACTGTGTGGGGCTGAGTTGCAGGCTGGGGTTAAACCATGACAAGGACAAATCCCACCGTAATATTTTTAATGTGCTGTGCTGGTGAGGACACTGAAGGGGTGCCCAGTGTTGTGTGTGTAAAATGAGAGGGTGCAGCTGGAAAGTGTTGCCACAGTTCTACACTGGGAGAAGGCCTGGAAAGCCCTGTAGATGGGGCTGAGGATTTGCTGGAACCATTTCCATGTCACAGGCAGATCCTTTGCTGAAGCTTGGGTACCACTGGAGCTGCACCAATTTGGCAATTTGAGTCCTTCAGCCATTTTTAACATCTGGTTGTTGGGGTACCAACAGGCTGTAACAGATTTTTCACTTCTTTTCTGTCAAGGTTGGGATTAAATCATGAGATGGTATTTCTTGTTCAGACTCAGGTGTTTATTAGTTCTTATCTATGTCACAGTCTTACAAATCCTGAATTCTACAGTATTTTGCTCTAACAAGGTAGAAAATTGCCATGTATCTCTCTCTACAAGACATTTTAAGGATAAACTGTCCAATTAAAAAATGACACGTAATTAATTTTATTTTTAACCCAATAACCAACAACCCGTGCCTGCAATGTGTCTTTTTTATCCAATTACACAAAACCACCCAAACCCATGGAGAAGAAGGACTAGCCTCTGCCCTAAAACCTGCATCCTGCTTGCTGTATTCTATAGCCCTAAACTCTGAGTTTCCCACCATGTAATATTACACACTTCTATTCAGACTCCACACCCACAATCCCAGTGCCATCATTCCATTGTGGAAGCTTCTCCACGGCCTCAGGTCAATGCAGAGTTCTCCTGGGGGTCAGTGCCTGGCAGCACAGAAAGGCTGAAATTCTCAGCAGCCAGAGTTCCAACAAGGGAGTGGAGTATATTAATGTCTAGAAGGATGATTTTATGTCTTTTCACCAGTAACTCCTCCTACAGCTGCGCTCCTGAGGGACTCACCCATCTTCTCCATAATGTGCTTTGGGAAGCTGCAGTCTGTTTTGGAGAAGGAAAATATTGGGTGCTAGATCTGGGATCCCTTCCTGGCATGTCAAAGTGTGTTTGAGCTTTGTGGTGTGAGGGGTGTCACCTTCAGCCTGTCAACAAATGCTGGGAAGTTTTGTTCCTGCTGCTGATGTGGTTTTAAACATTGATTTTAAGTCATAAACATGCCCTTGGAGCTCTGTGGTGGCTCTGCCTCCTGGGGCACTTCAGTTTAAAGCACCTCTTACTTAAGTGAGAGATGCTGAGTAACTCCTGTTACTGTAGATAAGCTGCTCTTAGAGAACTGTTCTGCTGAGTTGTGCAGTGGGGGTGATGAGGTGGGAGGAGAGGAGGAACTGAAACAAGTATTGCCACAGCTGATAAAAATAATGGGCTCTTGGTGGATGTTTCTGTTTCAGAAAGCACCAAAATAGCTGTTTGTAACTGTGAGTTAAAGGAGAGCATTTTGGAAGTTCCATGGAAGATATCAGGTTAATGGTTATGGTGTTGTGAAACAGTTTAATAGCACAGTCCCCACTGATTTTCCTGCTTAGATTTTCTTGCTGCTGTGTCTCTTGTTGCTGGGTTGTGGGTGTTAAGAAAAGAGACAAACTGAAACCTCTGGGTCGGTTAGGACAGTGGGACATGAGCTCAGGTGGCAAGGAAGAGGTGCTGTACCTCTGCCTGAGAGGCAAGTCTCTTCATCCCAGAGGTGGGAGCATCTCCTGAGTTAAATGGAGCCTCCAGGCATTTCCTCTTCTACTTGAACTGCTTTGACTTTAACCCTCTCCTTCCTAAGTAATTTTCCTCTCGAGGATTCTCCTTAGCACTGAGTCTTCTCCTTTGAGAAGAGAAGACTCCTCACCTGCTGCTGGCAGGGAGGAATGTTCACCCTCTGGGCATAAATTACTTCTGAGTGATAAATCATGGGATTTCAAAATCCTCTCCTGGTCTGCTTTCCCATGCAAGGAATCACTAACTCATGGTGGTGCCTTGTGCCAAATCCCAGTTTTGTTTATATCCCCACTCAGAAAAAAACTGAAAGCTTTTGGCAATTTGCTACTACCTCATTCATCTCTTGGAGTTATTTTTCTGCTGGACATATTTTTCATGGGTGTGATGTTTTTGGGCAGCACTTTGTGAGCTGCAGTCATGGCTCAGGAAGCTTCCTGAACAGGACTTTTTTTTGTTTCCATGGTGTTGACTGGGAGTAACACATCCCCTGTGGCTGTGACTCTTCTCTGTTGGTGTCTTGGCTTTGTTTCCAGACTGATTTAGAAAACCTGGTGATAATTCTCCTCAACCTTGCTTAGTTGTGATTAGGATGAGCTTTCCTGGTCCAGGGACAAGCTCTGTGCTCATATTCCACCATTTACTGAGAAGCTAAAACCATGTCCTGAAGCTGTTGTTGTCCCCATGGCAAGTTTGCCAAAGAAGTCACCAAGCCACCTCCTTTGTCCCAGGAAATAGAGGACTCTTCACTCCAGAGTGGTAAGTCCAGTTCATCTGGAGAGGAGAATCCAGACTGGGAAGGTCACCAGATGTGCAGGATGTGGTGTTACCAGGTCAGGCAGGGCTGGACTTGAGCTGGGGAGGTTCACACTTCTGCTGTGACAGAGTTTATTTAATAAAATTGTGCCTTGTTTTGCAGTAGTTCTGTGGTGGTTTCGTAGACACCTGGTTGCTTGTGCCAGCTGTGAAGTGCTGATGATTTGTGTTATTTCCTGACTTCCAGGCTGCCAGAGCTGCTGAGGGAGAAGGCAAGCAGAGATTCTTCACTCAGGACATCAACAACATCATACTGGAGTAAGTGCTACCAGCAGAGAGGTATGGGAAAGGAGAGCATTAGGCAGAGCATTTCTGGTAAATTCAGGAGCAGGTTCAGCAGGAATTGTGGGGCTGTCCTTGCACAGGTCTTCCAGGTAAAACACGCCCAGAATAAGATGAAAGTCTCCTATAAATGGCTTTCAGTTGAAATATGATGAGTTAGGAGAATGTTGGAGGGAATGTATCCAGGCCTCCTGTTCTCAAGACGCTGCCTGATATTTCTGTGCCTAAATTTGGTCACTTGACCTGTGAGCTTAGCTTGATGCAAGAGCAGTAAATCTCTCCCTGTGAGAGATATCAGGTATGTTTTTGCTACTTAACTTACATGCTATGTAGAATTATTTATAACTGGGATAAGGCTGCTGTGTTCAACTGGTTCTCTGGGAAAACTGGAGGAATTCCATTCCTGCTCTGTGTTTTGAGGCCCCAAATTACAGAGTGCCAGTGTTGCTCAGGCAGCTGCAGATAATGGCTTCATTCTTCTGCCAGAGCCTGGAGAGCGCTGATGAATGCACAGGGTTTTGTGATCAGTGCAATAGTACTGACACCCAGACTTTAATTTCATTAAGGTTTATCCAGGCACTTGCAGGGAACTGCCAAGGAGAGTTTGGGACTCTGTTTCCCTCTCATTTCCAGGGCTCATTACCACCTTCCAAAATTCCAGTGCTGGCTGCACAAATAGTCCTTCTCTGATGTCAAACTGATCACTGTAGCCCAAAAAGTCACCCAATTTCCTCCATCTTGTCCCCTTTGGACCCCTAATCTAGAATCCTAAAATTTCACTTTTGCACCCGTGCCACACTTAATTATTACTCTTATCAAACACTCAGAGCTGGTAATTCATCCTGTAAGATTGAAAACTCTTTTCCATGGACAGAGATCACAGACAGTGTCTCTGGGGGCTCTGTCCAGGGGGGTTCCTGACCCCTGCCAGGGCAGCCAGAGGGAAGCTCTGGATTCCCTACTGAACCAGGCTGGGGATCCAACACTCTGTCCCTGCCTGGCAGTCCCCTGGGGGTGGCACTGCTGGCTCAGGGTCCCTTGCATCCTGCTGACTCTGTGTTTGTCCCGCAGCATCGAGCTGCAGACGCGGGAGCTCAGCAGCCAGGTCCGCTCGGGGGTCTACGCCCACCTGGCTGCCTTCTTCCCCTGCAGCAAGGACACGCTGCTGAAGCGAGCCCGCAGGCTCTACCTCTACGAGCAGGTGAGGGGAGCAGCCAGCACGGGCTGGGCGGGGGGTGGCCCTGCTGGGGACCCCCAAACCGCTGTGTCCTCCAAGGGACACTGTCCTGGCACGGTGGGTGGGCTGGGGGCTGGAGCTGGCTGGATTTTGGTGTCCCAGCCATGGGAACACTTCAGGGTGTTCTGTGTGGCAGCAACTCTCTGGCCAGAGAGAGAAACAGACAATTTCCCCAGGCATCGCTCTGGGATAAGTCTGTGAGAAGAGCAGAGAAAAGAATAAGAAATAATTCTTATCTTAACTTGCTGCACCTGGTATTGTGAACATGTGGAATGTGTTACAGAGATTTGTTTACCAAAGGGTGGTTTCTTAATTAACTACTGATGACAATGTTTTAATTAAAAAATGAATTAATTCCACCTGAATTGAACTAAGGTCTGAAAGTATAGGTTTCTTAGTAAAGATTATTGATCAGCCTTCTGTAAATACATGGATTCTGTGTGAGTTACTGCCCAGTCCTGGCCCGTTGTGCTGACAGCTCTGTGCCCCTGCAGGGTGGCCGGCTGAAGGAGCCTCTGCAGAAGCTGAGGGAAGCCATTGGAAGGGCCATGCCAGAGCAGGTGGCCAAGTACCAGGAGGAATGCCAAGCCCATACTCAGGCCAAGTTTGCCAAGTAAGCTCCTCATTTGCTCATTCCCCATCTGTAGCTTTTCCCAGCAGGCTCCCTGTGGCCTGGAGGCTGCTGTCCTGAAGTTTGCCATCTCTTTTTGTTCTGTAGGTTAAATTTCCTGATGGGCATTGATTGGCCTAATTAAGCTGTGTGTGTTCTTTGTGCTGTCTGTGGCCATGCCAGCTACAGCAGCACTGCTGGGACAGAGCTTGGCTGCAGGGTTTTGCCTGTGCAGGCATGTTCTTAGGAACATGGCAGCCTGGGAACAGTCAGGCTGGATTAGTCCCATCATCTCTATTACAAAATATTGGGAGATTTCCTAACCTTCAGCCCATAGCTGAGTTTGTACCCAAAGCCAGAGATTGCTGATACTGAGCCCTCTGTTCAGTGCTGTTCAGAGATACTTTAATCCTCCCCTTGAACCTGCAGGATGATCACTTCCACCTTTTCTGTCTCCATTTTAGGATGCTGGAAGAGGAAAAAGACAAAGAACAGCGAGTTTGTTCTGATGATGATGAGGATGAAGAAAAGGGAGGGAAGCGTGTCGCGGGCCCACGGAAGAAATTCCAGTGGAATGATGAAATCAGGTTTGAATAACTCAGATATTAAGCAAACTCATGACCTGTCTTACTCTTTGCAGTTGGCAGGGAAGCATTTTGGTGTCTGTGTTCTGTTTACAAGGCAGTGCTGATCACCTGTAGGAACAGTCAGCTTGGAGGTTGGTGGCACATGGTGTTGTTCGTGGAAGCCATTACTGCATTTATTGCATCTCACCCTGAGAGAAGTGCTGAGAAGCCTCTGTGCAGAGTCCAAAAGAGTCAGATCTTTGGGAACAGAAGGGATTCAGCTGAATTGCTGACATCCTACAGCCCAGACTCTTGACATGCCCAGGTTCTGGCTGTGGAAGCAGTTGAAGCTGTTGGGTTTTGCTCCCCCTGGCACTCGGGGGACTGACAGGGATGGGAGTGCTGAGAATAGGGGAGAGTGACAAAGAGTAAAAGGAAAATCAGTCCTGCTGTCTTTTTCTTCTTATTCTGGAGCAAATCAATTTGTGCTGCTGATCCATGTAGGACGTAGCCAGCTGTGCTTCCTGCCTTCTCCTTGCTGAGAGGTTCAGTTCTGTGGTTGTTACTGGTGCCTGTGGCTCTGGCACTGCTTTACTGCCTCAGCTGTTTCAGGAGGTCACACTGGGAAGGGATAACAAGACTTTTCTCCCTGGTGCATCCATGTGTGTGCACACACAGAGCAAGAAATGTGCTTTTCCCTTCTCCTTTCCTGAGGAGGCAGTGCAGGGTTGTATTAGCAAGGTGTGTCTTGGTGTATTTATCCAGCCTGGATAAAGAGAATGATCTCCAAGTGGGAAAGGTCAATCTGCATAACTGTATGTGAAATCTTCCTGTTCCTCAGGGAGCTGCTTTGCCACTTGGTGAAGATTAAATTGGATGGTTATGACCTTGACAAGAATAAGGCTCAGTCTCTAGAGGATTATGTGAAGACCTTCCTAGAAGGAGAGGTGAAGCCCCTTTGGCCAAAAGGCTGGATGCAGGCCAGGTGAGCAAGAATCAAGGGATTCCTTGTCCCAAGGGACCTGGGAAGGTCATTAGTCCTGCCCTTGCTCAGGGAATGGCTGGCTTCAGAGTTAGATCAGAGTGCTCAGGGCTTTCATATGTGGAATTTTGGAAATTCCCAAGGATGGAGATTACCACAGCATCGCTGGGCTCCTGTTCTGGTACTTGATCACTCTTCAGGAAATCTTTTCTCCTTATTTCCTATAAGAATTCCCCTTGCTGCACTGAACTGAATATTCCCAGCTTTTGTTTTTACTGTGCACCTTTGAGAAAGGTCTGGTTCCATCTTGTTCCTGTCCCCACCACTCTTTAGGTAGTGGAAAACTGCCATTAGACTCCTCCTAGGGCTTCTCCTTTTCCAGGCTGAGCAAACCCAGTTTCCTCCACCTCTCCTTGGCTGTCATGTGTGCCTGTTTCTTGGGATGTCTCCAGTTTGCTGGCATCTCTCTTACATTTTGGGGACCCTGAAACTGGATCTGTGTCCAGATGTGTCCTCCCAGGTGCTGAGCAGGGGATGGTTTGCTCTCAGCAGGACACCTCTGCAGCAGTGGCTTCCCTTCCCTTGCCCCCCCAGGTCCTTTCCTGCAGGGTTGCTGCCCAGGGTTGTTCCATTCCAGCTGCAGGACTTGGTGCTGGATTTACTGAGCTTCACAAGGTTTCTGTTGGTCCCTTTCTCCTGCCTGGGGAGGGCCCTGTGAATGGCAGCCCTGCCCTCCAGCATATTCTCCCTCCTCCCTCTGTCCCTTTTCACCTCACAAGTGCCTGAGTGCAGCCAGGACTGTAAATGGCAGTGCTGAGTAGCCCTGGTGCTGTGTTGATGTCAGGCAGGTGCCACTGGCAGGTGGAACTGGCACTGAGGTCAGGCCCAGGGCCGGTCTGTGCTTTCTCAGCTCTGTATTACAAAAGATCCTTTATAATCACAAGGCATACACTTTTCAGACACTTTGGGAAGTCTTCTCTGGAGTATTCTCAAAAGAAGGCAAAGTAGTAAAGTTTTAGGGGCTTATTAGAGTCAGTAGAATTTGTTGTGGTTTCTGTACCCTCACTGCTGTTTCCTGTTCTTTCCCACTCTCCATCATCCCTGCCCTCAGCTGGCAGTGGCAGAGAGCCACACAAATGGCAGAGTCCCTCTGCTGGGACTGTCATCACCTTCTGGCCTGCTTTGTTTTGCTCTGTACTTTTAAAGAAAGAACCACTTTGCAGTCTTACTTGTGGAATCTTTAAGGTTCCTTCCAACCCAAGCTGTTCCATGATCTGTCTCTTTGCATTTCACCAGCTGGGCAGTGCTGTCTTCTCTGCTGAATTTGCTTTCTGGGTGTTGGGAGATAAAGGAAGATGTGGGTAGCAGTTCCTAAGAGCAGGAAGTATGAGTGGCACATCAGAAATCCATTTGGAGGTGTCCATGGCTGTTTGTTGCAGTTGAATGTGCACAGGAAGCTCAGTGCTGAGCGTGGTTGTAGTGTGGTGGTGCAGGAGCTGAAGGATGGCAGTAGGAGGTGGGGGAAGTTAGTGCTTAGTTAATGAAGATTTACCCAGCCTGAGGGTCTCAGCTTGCCAGATTTTAAAAACTTTTCTTTGAATAAATGGAAATTAAAATCTTCAACTCCAAGTTTGATGTTGTTGGGCATTCAGGTGTTCACCCAAGACTCAGTGTAGGAGGCACTTCCAGTGGTACAGTAAGTAATGCCTCAGTAAAAGTGGATTTCCTGTGGCTTTCCAGTGGCTCAAGGACAATGGTTTCTCCTGCTGGGACTTGAAGTTGGACTTGATCTTTCTGGGTCCCATCCAACTCAAGATATTCTCTGACTTGGTGGTTTAAAGACAGAGGGTAGAGTGACAGCCACAGGGAGGGATTGGTAGCTCTAGAAAAACAGTAACAATTTAATGGATAAGTCAGCTTGATTCACTGTCATCACGGTCTCAGAAGTTCATCTGTAAGAAGAACTTGAAGGTGGACAGAGCAGCAATTTCATGGATGAGTTAGAGAGACCCTGCCATGAGTCTCTTTCCTCCTTTTGAACTAAGAGATGATTAACAGAATGTTAGGTTAACATAAGCTTGTTTTATAAGAGAAAAATGATGACAAAAGTCTGTTAATACCAGCCAGGAATCACATTCCATGTGCCAGTACTGGAGGAATGTCTCTAACTCCTCCCTGACATGTAAGAGGGCAGCTGAGTGGCAGCTGCTTTGGGTCAGAGAGGGATTGGAGGAGCTCTGGTTTACCCTCAGTAGTGCAGGGCTTTGGGTGAAGCTCAGTCTGTTGGCTGTGCTCAGTCAGTCCTTCCAGAAGGGGTTGTGATGTACAGAGTCACCTCAGCCCCAGGCTGGGGCACAAAGGCAGCACAGACCCTTCTCCATTGCTGGGTGAGAGGCACAGGACGGGAACTTTCTCCCTGGAGAGCTCTTGGATGATCTCTGGCAGCAGGAGGGCCCCGAGTGATGATGATCTTGCCTCTCCAGTTGGCTTTATAAGCTTTTATAAGCTGGCAGAGCTTTTTCCTTAGGCTTTGTCCAACCACTGCCTTAATGGCCTTTCCAGTGCCCACAAGCATTGCTCCCCAGAGAGAGAACTGTGTGGGGCAGCTCGGGATGATCTTCCTGGCAAAGGGCTGAATATTTGTTTGCTCTCTGTGGTTTCAATTTCACCAAGTCCCCTGCTGTACTCTGCAGCTCTGTCTCCAGTGATCCCAGCTGCTCTACTGGGTCTTGCTGGATATCACTTCTCATTGCTCTCTTCCCTTCTTAGGACACTGTTTAAGGAGAGCAGGCGTGTACACGGACACCTCACATCAGTCCTGTGAGTATCACAGCATTCCTTTGGAGTGAAAACTGGTGATCTCCATTCCCTGGGGCCTGGGGGGATCCTGCAGGAGCACCTGAGCTTGCTTGGCTCCCCCCACATACATCAGCACTGCTCCCTTTGGGGAGCTCTAGGGAGAGCAGCTGTTTGTGTGTGACGTCTCCCAACACTTTCCTCAGGTGCTTTAGCCTTCAATGAGGTCAAAAATAACAACTTTAAAGCCAGGTTGTCTCTAGTTCAACAGCCTGGAGTCAGGCCTCTGTGCTGGGCCTGGGAGGCTCAGGGAGGTAAGGTGGAGTGTGATCACTGCAGCCTGTTCAGTTGGTCCTTGCTGGATTCTGGATTCCCTCTGTCTTGTTGCTGGTTCGAGGAGGGGTCACCATGAGCTCAGACTGGTGAAGGTGGGTGCAGCTGGTGGGTGGCACACCAAGAGCCATCAGAATCCAGCTGGGCAGGGGCTTGAATCCAAAGGGTCTCATGGATCTTGCTGGTGGTTGATAATAGATGAGGATGTGTGGATTTAGGCTGGTGTCAGCTTGGCAGACAGTCCTTTTCTTGGCATGGGTGAGTGAGGGAAAGTGGAATAGGGTGTAGAGTCATGGGGAAGTGGAATAGGGTGTAGAGTCATCCTTCCCTCAGCCACACCACCCAGCAGCTCAGGGATGTCTTGTACCAGAGATTGCATCTGACCAGGTCTATTCTCTGGGAGTTTGGCAGATGCTTTTGCATCCTTGGCTTCTTCTGGGAACCCAAAAGAAGGGCGTAACTTCTGCAGAACAGTCTCTGTGCCAGTTTCTCTCTCAGCGTTGCTGTAGGAGGGCAGCAGTGGGGTCCTGCAGCTGGTGCAGGACGTGTGTGTGGGTGTTTCACTGCTCTGCTGCCCTTCCAGGACTGCTCCACTCCCTGATCCGCTCCCTGGGTGGGAGCTGGGGCTTCCAAGAGCAGCAACCAAATGTCATGTGGTTTTGAATCCTAGCAACCTGAGATGCTGCCTCTGTTCCCTGCAGAGACTCAGTGGATCATCACTAGCAGGGCCCAGGTGTGCTCCCCAGCTGGCTCCTTCCCTGGGGGCAGCCACTGAGCCCTGTTTCTCTTGTCTTCCTCCAAACAGGACAAAGAAGAAAGTTATAGCTCCTACCAAGGTGAAAGTGAAGGTGAGTTCTATTTTCTGATTCTCATGGCTGATATGTGCCAAAAGTCAAGTGACTGCCACCCTGAGCCCTGTGTTTGAGCTTTGTATCAGCTACTGTGAAATGGCTCTGCTCAGTATTTGGATTGGAAAAAACAAGTGGAACAGCAGCTGAAATTGATGGCAGTGGCAGTTGGGAGGGAAGTGGAGGCACATGGGCAGAGAATATGTGTATCCTGCCTTTTATCCCCAAATTGTGAACCTTCCCTCCCCTTTTCAGCAGTAAACCCTGTCTCTCTTCTGACTGTGCCTTCTCCTGTGATGCTGTTCCAGGACTCTTCCTGCAAGCCAGAGAAGAAGCTGTCGGTGTCTGTCCCCTCCCTGCACTCGAGCAGCACCTTGGCCATGTCCTCAGAGCCCCAGGGAGGAGCCTTGGGCATCAGTGCCCAGACCAGGGAACTCCTGCCCCTTGGGACAGCCCAAGCTGCCAGCAGCACTGCCACTCCTGCCACCTTCAAGGATGACTCCTTGGATGAGGACTTGATCCACAACCCCACCTCCTCCCTGGAAGCCGTGTCCAAGGAACTGGCTGTGCTGAACAGCAGGGCAGCAGGGAGCCCTGACTTTACTCTTCCTGCAGCTCCAAAAGCTCCACCAGAGAAGATCCCAACTCTCGCATCCTCAGAGGAGAAGAGGACATTTCCAAAGCCCAACCCTTCCCCTACATCATCCTCTGGTTCCCTCCAGTCTCCTCTAAACTTCCTAGCCGAGCAGGCCCTGGCGTTGGGCCAGTCTTCTCAAGACAAGAAGACAGAGAACTCTAATTACAAAGAGCATTCCTGCCAAGCCTCCCCCAGCAAAATCCTTCCTGATGCCCACCAGGCTAAACAGAAGCACCACAGCCTGGTCAGGCCAGGCCACGGGCCCCCAGCCTCGGCGCCGGTGCCGGGCTCTCAGGTGAAGGTGTTCCACCCTGGGGCTCAGCTCCAGAAAACCTTCACCTCCCCAGCTCCCTTTGTCAAACTGCAGAATCCCAAGTCCTCCACCCCTCTGCCCCAGCGCTCCCTCCTCCAGCAGGTCAAGTCATCAACCAAAGCTCAGAGCTTCCATTCCTCCACGTCCCCGAGCAGCACCCAAAACTCCAGCAGCTCCCACAAGAGCCAAGGCTTGTCCTCATCATCTCTCAGCTACGCCGGGAAGCACTCGGGTGGCTCCGGCTCTTCAGGACAATCTTACAAATCGCCTTTCGTCGCTGGGTCCCTCTCCAAGCACGGGGCTTCTTCCAGCAGCTCCTCTGGAGCTCCTGCCAGCCAGGGCAGCTCCTCTGGGACTTTGCTCCCCAGCGTCCCGGCCCCTTCCCCGGGCTCGGCCTCCGGCCGCCCGGCCTCGGGCTCCTCGGTGAAGAAACCTCCCGTTTCCCAGAAGCTGACCCTGGTGGCACCTCCCGGGGGCTCCAACGGAGATTCCAGCGGGGGCACCCAGGGCGTGGCCAAGTTGCTGACCTCGTCCCTAAAGCCAGCTGTGGTCAGCAGCACCGCAGCCTCTACCTCTGTGCCGGTAAGGGGGCTGTGCTGGGAGCTCTGCCCCTGTCACCCCCTAAAGGGAGGGGGCACTTCAAAAGCAGTTGCTGAAGTTCTTGAATGACTGTCTGGATTTCAGCTGCTTTAGATGAGAAATTTGTGGCCTTTGCCCTGGGCTTGCCCTCCAGAATTCCAGCTTTCATTTTCAGCTTAAATAACCACTAAGCTGAATACTGTGCTGCCTTCCAAAGGGCAGTTTTTGCCCTGGCTATGTTATGATGCTGCCCTGGCTTTGCGAGTTATGGGGACAGTAGGGCTCCCATTTGGATTAAGAGAAAGTGCAGTAAGGTAATTTATCACAAGAGATAAAGTTCATTGCATAAACTAAAAGTATAATAATGAATTTGTCATTAATTAGAGCTATAAACTTAGCCTTCTTTAAATTATTCCAAGTAATTTTAATATTCTTGCCACTTTTGTCATGACTGGCCATAGAGTAAATTACCTGTGGTTACAGAATTGTGGAATCATTCAGGTTGGAAAAGCCCTCTAAGATCATTGAGTCCAACCACTCCCTCAGCACTGCCCAGGCCACCTCTAACCCAAATGCCACATCCACATGGCTTTTAAATCCTCACATATATGGTGACTCCACCCCTTCCCTGGGCAGCTGTGCCAGTGCCTGGTAACTCTTTCCATGGAGAAATTTTCCCAATATTTGTTGGGACAGAACATTTCAGGAGGGACTTCTGGGTTGTCAGTACAGACTTGTTTATTACAATATTGTATGACTTAATGGTATAAGTGGCTTAATTTTTATCTATAGCAAAAAAAGTAATAGTTCCTAACGTTGTATCCATTTGTTGTTGGTTGCTTATGCCTGCCTTCCTTTGTGCCCCATGGAAAGAGCTGGGAAACACAAGGAGTGAGTTTAAATGGAAAGCATGTACTGCTCAGGTTACGTATCTTGTCTGTTCCTGAGCTGGAGAGCTGGGAAGGCTCAGGCTCCCCAGTGGTGCCTGTCTCCATGAGAGAGATCCTAAATAGCATCCTGGGGTGCCTTGGGTGTCAGACCATGGTGCCTGGAGTTGTTGGCAGTGTGTGCTGCCATAAGTGAGACCCTGGAACTCACAGGCAGTGTGGAAACTTTTCCTCTGCCTAATGGAGGCACAATTCCAGAGCAAGGGAGTCACGGAGGCAAATCCAGCGTGGCCACATTCAGAAGAGCTGGCTTGCCAATGTCCATCTGCAGATGGCCTCAAGTGTTGGCATCTCTTGGGCCCTGGCTGGGAGGGTGCTTTTTCCAAGGGGGAATTCTCAAGCATTCCATGTTTTGCAGATTGTAAGTAGGAATGATGCTGTACCTTGATTCTTCCCCTCCTGACTGACCTTTTCCATTGCTTTGCAGAAAGGAACTAGTGGAGCTGTGCTGCTAACAAGCTCTTCCTCCTTAAGTGTACTGGCTCCATCCTACAAGTCCAACAACCCAAAGCTGCCAGCTGCCCTGAGCTCCACCCCGTTAGGTATTATCTCTCCTATTCATTCTTTCCCTCTCCATGTCATCTCCTTCAGTTCCGACTCCTCCCCAAAAGCAGGAGTTTCCAAGGATGCAATAGTTACGGGACCTGCTCCGGGAACTTTCCACCACGGCCTCGGGCACAGTGAGTATCCCTCTGCCCACCCGGGTGTCACTTGTGCCTGTGCTGTCACACAGAACATCAGTGCTCTGCTGGGCTGCCCCATTGCACACCAGCCCATCTCTCTGGCTGTTGCTTTGTGCTGTGGTCCCTGCTTTTGTATCTCCAGCAGTTGCATTTGGAGAACCTCGGGCACATCCCTAGATCTCGCCCAGAAGTGCCAATAACTGGAACCCGACCTCTGCTAACTGCTGCAGCATCTCTGCTCATTTCTGTCTTGGATGTGTATTTGTTCCTTTTTCCCTCTCCTCTCTTTGTTTTCTCTCTAGGTCTTCTGGCTGGTTTGCACTCCAGCCCCCACCACGCAGCGCCACTCCCACACTCTGCCCTGTCCACTCATTTACCACAGAGTTTGCCAGGTAACTTGTCAGATGCTCGTGTTTGTCTTCTCCCTTGTGAGTCTATCTCAGCAGGTCCTTCCTTCAGGGCTGAAGCCAAAGGGGTTGTCCATGTTTTCCAGCTGTGTGGTTGTCACTAAAGCCTCTCTGAGGTACAGAGTGAGGGGCTGGGAGCAGCCTGGTGTGCTGGAAGGTGTCCCTGCCCATGGATGGGCTTTAAGGTTCCTTCCAACCCATGATTAAGAAGAAATTCTTGGCTGTGAGGGCGGGCAGGCCCTGGCACAGCGTGCCAAGAGCAGCTGTGGCTGCCCCTGGATCCCTGGAAGTGTCCAAAGCCAGGTTGGACAGGGCTTGTAGCAGCCTGGGCTGATGGAAAGTGTCCCTGCTCGTGGCAGGGGTGGAATGGGACGGCCTTTAAGGTCCCTTCCAATCAAACCATCTTGGATTCTGTGATTTCTGGAATGATGAGTCCTCAGTGCTTACAGCAAGTGTTGGTTCCTGCAGATACTCGGAGTTATCCTTACAGGATGAAAGCTGTGCCTGTTTGTGCACAGCCTGCCAGGACTGCCCTGGAATGAATATTCCAGCTCTGGGGAGTTTTGTTCCTGGTGGCCTACATAAAATGTGTCAGACCAGACTGTCTTGTGTCTGTGCACTGAGTTAATTGCCAGCATCTCCTTCATGACAAGTTTGTAGTGTAAATGCAGATTGCTCCACTTGCTGCTCACACCATGAGGATTTGGCAGTTCAGCCTGTTCCTGCCCCAGTTTGATGCCTGCAGAAGTGATGCATAAAACAAGACTTTTCCAAAGAAGGAGAGAAGTAAGGAAAATTGAAATTCAGCGCCTGCAGGTCGTGCTTACCTGCTTCAGGGAGCTGCTTATTCCCCTGATAACTCCTATTTCTGCTTTCTTAGGTGTGTTCTTTAGCACTTCAGTGCAGTTCAGTGCCATTATCTTAGTACCTGCTCCTGTTGGGATGGTCCTCCTGGGCTAAGTGAGCCTGATTTAGTAGTGCTAGCCTGGTCCTGTGGCTGTGTGCATGGATAACCATGTACCATCCTGGAGGAGCCATGGAATAAAAGGCCTTTGCTGAGCACGGTGCTTGTTTGCTAAAGAAGGAAGAGTGTGTTGTGCACTCATGAAAATGCAAAGAATTGGTTGGGTTTGCTTCCTTTGCTGGAGTTTGATGTGGGTTGTGCCATGCTGCTGTGGTAGAGCTGAAGAAGGTCCTGGCAGTGATCACTGGTGTGGCAGACCCTTCCTTCCTGTTTGTAAATCACACTTCCTGGAATGAGATCAGAGATTGCACCTTCAACATGGCTTGTGGAATATATTCCCTGTCACTGAGGAGCAGCTCTTTGTTCCTTTAGTTGAGGGAGTTCAGAGTGATCACTTCACTGTTGTTCATAGGGCTGATAACAGAAGATTTTTTTTTATGGACTCTTCAGCAGGATATAGGGCCAGAAGAGAAAAGACCACTGGGAATAAGTGAAGGAAAATTGACCATGGATCCAGCTTCAGCAAGGACCTTCTTTCTTACTTGGTGTTTTCACTTTGAGAGGGAGCCTGGTGCTGCCATCTCTCGGGACATTCCCAATTCTGGTGTTTTGGAGGAGAACACAGTAGATATTTAAGTGACTCCCATAACCTTAAAATGAATTCCTGTGTTTTGTGGCACAAGCTGTGTTTGGCTGTGCCAACACGTGCCCACAGCTGCATTGCTGTGTTTGAACATTGCAAGATGCGTGGGAGGTTGCTGCAAATGCAAGAGAATTGATGCCTTAACTAAAAATGCTTTTGTCCATGTTCATCCAAAAGCCTCTGAGCAAAGAGCATCCAGTGCTTATCTGTGTGTGGTTGGTGCTTCTGTTGCTGGTGGAGGTTCCTTGTGCTGGGGCTGGGAATGTGGTGCTGGGAATGTGCTGGGCTGAGCTCTTGCATGCAGAGGAGCTGTTCTTGGCCTGCAGGAGAAGCTGCTGCTGAGTGCCACTGCTGCTTAGCCGCACGTCTCAGTACTCCCATTTGTTCATCACAGTCTGAAGTAGTTTTAATTCTCCTGGAAAACTTTTGCTTCCCTAAACTTCCTTCCTTTTTCTCTCTTCAGTGCATTTTCTCTTGTCCTCCACATCCATTCCTTTCTGTTCCATCAGTGGTGAGATTCCTATGGATCCTGTTGCTATCACTGGCCACCTAAAGCCTTCATTTAAAAAGCACCTAATTCAATAATCCAAAAAATAATCAATAAAGCACCTAAAGCCCTACCTGAAAGGAGTTTCTAGGTGAGGGGTTTGCCTCTTCTTCCACACAACCAGTGACAGGACAAGAGGAAACAGGAAAGTTGAGTTTGGACATCGGGAGGAGTTTCTGTGTGGAAATTGGTGGTCAGGCCTTGGCAGGGGCTGTCCAGGGAGGTTTGGAGTCCCCGTCCCTGGAGGTGTCCAAGGAAGGCCTGGACATGGAACTCACTGCTCTGGGCTGGGCACAAGCTGGACATGGGTCACAGGTTGGACTCCATGGTCTTGGAGGTCTTTTCCAACCTCAGTGATTCTGTGATTACAACAGCAAAAATGTACAACGGGTTACTTCCAACCAGCTGTTGGTAAGGCAACCACACCGTGTATTTTGGGATTCCTGGAGGGGGAGATGTGGCAGGGTGGATTTAGAGAAGGGCACAGGCTAAGGAGTTCCCTGGCAGCTGGAATTGTGTTGTGGGGCTTCTGCTGGGAGCCCACAGGGGACCTTCAGTGCTTCCCTTGTCCCTTCCTCAGAGGCTGGGCTGCTCCCAGTGGAGAGATGTCTCCAAGCACATCCTCTTCTTCTTGCTCCCTTGGTGCAGGGAAGGAAGAGTAGGTTTTTCCCTCTGTGCAGAGGCCTGGCTGTCCCAGCTGCCCACCCTCCATGGGCTGGTGCTGATCCCCTTCCCAGCTGTTTTATTTTCTTTCAGATGCTTCTCAGCTTCACGGCAAAGGGTCCAATGCACAGCAGCGCAAGTTGTGACGCCTGCAAGGAGGGGAGCTCCAGCACCCATAGGATAAAACCCAGAGGAACAGGTCATGGACTTTGGATACCAGCTGTGTATTTTGATTTCTTTTTTTTTTTTCCCCTATTTCTTTTTTTTAAATGACAACTGGAGAGACTGAACTGCAACAAGGAACTCATTGGGGTGTCTGCTCAGAGGCTTTCAGAGCTGAGCCCCACACATGGGGCCACCTGGAGCCATGCCCTGATGAGAGGAGCCTTTTGTAGCACTGTTTATTGCTGCTGCCCTTCCTGCATTCCCTGGCACTGGCAGTAGCTGGAGCTCACAGGGAGGCTCGGGTGGTCCTGCAGTGGATTCCCACCCACCTGTGTGTGTAGCTGCCAAGTACCTCCAAGTCCAGTTACCTCCTTGGTCTCCCCGTGGAGGGTATGAAAGGTGCTTCTTTCTTCTGCTTTGGATTTACTTGGATAATTCTAGCACTGCCAGTGCTTTCTCAAAGACATTTGAGTAACTTTCCAATTGTACTATAAAACTGTGCTACACTTAATTGGAGGATTTAGCATTTCCTGTGTGGTGAACTTGAGGAACCACCTGATGTTCCCCTCTGGAGGAGAAGGAAGACTCTAGAGACTAAACACATTTTTAGATGCAGTCATTGACTTTTAGAATTCTACTTCTTTTGAGTTTTTGGATTTTTTTCCCTCCAAAGGGATGCTTTTTTCCTGCTCAGTTTTATCCTCATTGCCATCTAATGCATTGGATTGAATGGGATACTTCTTAGCATGTCACATGGATCGGAACACATAATTCCAGTGCCTTTTATGGTGGAGCAAGAATGGACTAGTGACACACATTTCAGCCCTATTTCGTGTGCTCCTCAACCCTTTTTTAATCATTCTGTATTTAAAATGTATTCTGGTTTATTTAATAGAGCTTTTTATGGTTGCACATCAGAAAAAAAGACAAAAAAAAAAAACAACAAAGCTGCACTGTCTGGACTTCAGTGGTGACCTGGTGACTGAGCACAGCCCCAAATCCAGCAGGAGCACCAGTTCTCATCCCAGTATGTGCAGGCGGGTTCCAGGCCCTCCCCTAAAGCCATTCTTTCCTAGGGTTGTGAGTTAGGATCAATTTGGTGGGCAGAGGGAATGAGCGAGATGAACCAAGGTCACGACCTGTCAAATGAATTCCAGAGAACAACACTGCTCTCCTCAATGGTACCTGCACCAGGATCACATGCTCAGCACAGCTGCAGGAACAGGGACCGTCTGCAGTCAGGGGGTGTCTTTTCTTATTCATTTTTTTAACTTTAGAGCTAAATACTCCCCCTGTGCACCCCCTTTCAGGCTAAGGCGGGCTGAGGCTCCACCTGAGCTTTCTGAGGTTTGGTTTCCTGCTCTGCCCAGTCTGTCTTCTCTCAGGCCCCCACAGCCACATCCCAGTTGTGTAGGGGTAGTGCTGATCCATGTAGAATTTACTGGTATTCCAAGGAAAAGCTTGTAGCTTCCTCCTTGAGCTTTGGGGAAGGATGCTGACCCCAGGATATCAGCAAATGTCTGCTTTAGTTTCCTCTGGTTTTTATTAGGATCAGAGAAAGACTGTTTTCAATTTGAGCTGATACATAACTGCCCAGGATCAGTGAGTTGATTGTATTTCAAATTAATGGAACAGCTCAGATTTCAAGTCTGTTTACAGAAAATACCTAGGCTGTAGCAGAAGAGCCAAAGACAGAACTCGTGTGGGTAAAATGAAGCACAGCATTTCCTGGTAGACTCTGAGCAGTGTATGTCGCGTGGTTCCTGTTGAAGGTCTCATCCTGAGGGGTGCTTGGCACCTTCACCTTCCCCTGGGAGCCAAAAGCTTGGGACCCCTGGCAGGACAGGGGCTCTCAGTGAGTGACTCGAGGTACTGGATCTCCTCCCTCTCTTTGCTTTCACTTGAATGCTTCTGCTGGGAAGCCCCCGTGTGTGCGACCAGAGCAGAATGCCCTCCTCCTAGGAATTCAGCGAAGCCTCTTGCCTCAGGGAAATGTTTATGTGGTGGAAATTCTGTGGGATATTTTTTCTTTACATGCTATAATGAATGAGTGAGTGGTGTGGAGTAGAGTGGCAGCAAGGCAGGCCCATGCAGAGCAGCTGATGGGAAGCCAGGCTGGCACTTCTGCCTTGGTGAGGCAACTTGCAGCGCTTCCAGGATGGAATGGGGAGGGATAGGCTCCCATGGCACTTACCTGGGGATAGCAGTTCCTTTTGGGTGTAAGAGCTGCAGTTTACTATTCTATTTTTTTTTATGTGTGTTGGCACTGTCTTGCTGAAGATGGTGGGGGTGGTATGAAAAATGTTAATCTTGTACAGAACAACTCAATAAATTGTTTCAAACTTTCCAAAACACTTCTTTTCCCCAATCTCCTTACCTCTAGTTCCCTGATTTTTTTCCCAAGAATTTCTGTTGCAGCTTGGATGCTCATCTGTGTCTCAAGTGAGTAATGAATTATTGACTGTTTTAAAGTCTCCTACATGGTGAGTAAATGGCAGCTGTATTACAGCTGTTGGCAGGGGTAGGAATGTTTCTAATCATTTCCTATGCTCCTAATGGTGCTTGAAGTTGGTTTCAGCTTTAAAGGACCACCCTGCTGGTGCTCAGACCCCAGAGCACCAGTGAGATCCTCCCTGAGCCCTTCATTCACAAAGGTAAAATAGTAGTGTTAATCCCCAGAGCCAGGAGGAATAAGCAGGGAATGATTGTGACTGCTTTTGTGGACATCAGAGCTCCTCAGGGCTTGGGTATTAGTTGAAATTTGGCCAAAAGGAAGTGAATGGGCTCTGAAAGGTACCATCCCAGTGTAATCCACTCTTCTCGTGCACTTCACTCCCATCTAATGCTGCTCCTTAGTCCCAGCTTCAATGATGCTCCAGTAATTTCCCTTTGGAAAAGAGCCAACAGCTGAAATGAATAATCTTAGTGTTTTAATTCTGACTCCTAAATGGCAGCTTCTTGTACAGCCAAAGATCAGGAGGCTGCCATAATAAAGACCAAACACCTCCTGACTGGAACCACTGCATTTTTATTTTGTACTATAAATAGAATTCCCCTCTATTCCCCATTCCCTTACACAAGTAAATGAAACACGTAGCTGCATGTAACTCCATCCAGGAAAACACCAGCACTAACAGCTTTAACCACGAGTGAAGGAGCTGTCTGTGGGAGGCCCTCTGCATTGGGTTCCCGTGCATGCTGTGCACAAGTCCTTGTGTCTGGTGGTTCTGCCATCTCTTCATGTCCTTTTCCTTCACCTCGGGGGTGTGTGAATGCTCCTCCTGGATCAATGGCTGGTGCCATCCAAGTACACCTTCATTCTTCCCCAGCAGCACAGGCACAGAGGTGAACAAATGCTGGTGAGTCTTGACGTGCTGATTCTGGGCTTAAACCTTGGCCTCCACCGAGCTGGTTTTCTCAGAGGACAAGCCCGTCATTGAGTCAGTTGTTCATGGTGGGACTGTCTGGCTTATCAACATGCAGCTGATGTAACCAGCTCCTGCTGGTCACCTCGGAGTCACCTGGACCTTCAGTCTCCTGACACAGCTTTGTACACGACCATGTGAGTAGGAGTCGAGGAAACTGCAGATTCTACTGGATATTTTGGATTTGAGGCACTTCACTGTCCTAAGGCTTTCTCTTGTTTTCTGGTAGGCAGGGAGGAAGAGGGGTTTCAGGAGGTTGGCAGATGTTTTCCACTACTGGTGGTGTTTTCTGCAGCGTGTGACAACAAGCGGTGTGGCTGCATAGCATGGCTGGGGCAGAGGCTGTAGCAGTTTGGAGGACGCAAAGGAGGGCGAGGTTTTGCAGTGATCTGATGTCTGCAAGGTGCTGCAGCTCTGACTGGCTGCTCTTGAAGTGAAGTTTCTAAAGTGGAGCGAGCGCTGTGTAATTGCTTCCGGACACCAAGACTGCCAGCTCCTGGATGGACATCTCCTTGTTGAGGTAACTGTCGTACTGGGCCGTGGTCAGCCTCCCGCTCTTCAGGGCGTCCTCGATGGAGAACTCCCTGCCAGACTTCCTGTCGAGGATCACAGACGATTCCCCGTTGGGACCCTTTATTGAGATCTCCTCCCAATCACATTCCTGGCTCTTCAGTTTGACAAACAAGCTCCATTCAATGAGGCCAAACACGTGAGCTTCCTCTGGAGACATCTCTTTTCCTGTGTCGGGGTCGATGACCACGATGGAGCGCCTCAGGTGGTTCTCCCGTTGCTCCCTCTTGATAGCCACTGTCTTCAGGCGATTCTGGAGTTGCTCAATCTCAGCATCTTTTTCTCTGGACAGCTGCTTCAGATCCTCTAACTCTCTTTCCAAAGCTTGGAACCTGGAATCCAGGTTTATTCCACTGTCCACATGGGTCATGTTTCTTAAATCCTGAGCTTCTGTTGCGGTGAGTTCAATCTCTGACTGCAGTCTCCTTGTTTCCATCAGTAGGTTCTGTTTCTCGAGGTGGAGCTTGTGGTTTTCCTCCCTTAACAAGTCTAGCTCCTTTGATGACTTGGAGTTGTTGAATTCCACCTCGGACAGCCTGGTTTCCAGGCGGTTGAGATCTGCATCCAGCTCCCTCTTGCGCCTACTTTCTTCCTCCAGGTTGCTCTTCAGCTTTTGAATCTCGTACTCCGTGTCTCCTTTGTCCACTTGGACACTCTCTGAAAAGACCACTTTCTCCTTGACCTCCATCTTCTCCAAAGAAAGGAGCTTCTTTCTCAGGGCTTCTAGCTCGGTTTGCAGGACTTGTCTGCGGTGCTTCTCTTCTTCTAACTCCAGCTTGAGGAGGGAGTGCTCCTTCTCCTGCTGGGGATCTTGCTGAAGGATCACTTTCTGTTTCACAGTCACTCGTTCTGTCGTTTCTCTTTCCTGTTCTTCCAGCTCACTCAGCCGGATCCTGAGCCTCTGCACCTCCAGCTCGGCCTCCCTGCGGGCCTGTCTCTCCTTCTCCAGCTCCTCGAGCTGCCGCTCCAGCTCGGAGCGCCTCCTCTGCAGCTTGCGCAGCTCTTCACGGAGGCTGTCAATCTGCTTCAGCTCGCTCTCGATGCTCTGGGAGAAGGAGTTCACCTCAGCTTTCAAGGCAGGATCCTGCTCATACTTCACTACTTCCTGCTGGACCACTTTCTCCTTCACTTGGGAAAGTTCTTCCTCCTTCAGTCTTACTTTTTCTTCTTGGAGAAGGCGTTCCCTCTCCAGGTCGATGTGCTTCATTTGTTCATCTGCCAGCTGCACTCGCAGCGACTCTACTTCCTCTCTAGTCTTGGGGTCTTCCCGAAACTGGAGGATTTCTTGAACAACTTCCTTCATTTGCACTTGAGGTTTGGTGTCTTTCAAAGCTTGTATCTCTTGTTTCAGCTGGTAGATCTCCAGGTCAGCTCTTTCGATAGCTCCGGTCCTTTCTATGATTTCCTCCCGGAGTCGCTGTAGCTCCTTTTCGGTTTCTGGATCATTCTTGTACTTAATGACCTCCTTAATGACTTCTTTGACTTCTACCAGAGGCCCCCTGTTCTTCAGAGCAGCCAGCTCGTTCTGGCAGCTCTTCAGCTGTTCGTCCCCACCGCGGTACCTCCTCTCCTGCTCCACCAGCTCCAAGCGAAGGTTGGCAACTTCATTCTCAGCCTTGGGGTCTGGGCGCACAATCTCACGAACTTTCTCCTGAACGACCACCTTGGAGTTCTCCTCCTCCAGCAGCTGGATCTTCCTGAGCAGTTCAGCCTTTTCCCGCTCGTTGGAGCGGCCCTTGGACTTCTCATCCTCGTACTGGCGCCGGAGCTCATTCACCTCCCTCTCAATGGCCAAATCTTTCTCCACCTTCAGCACCTCCTTGACGGTGATTTTGCCCTCGGCGATGGCCCGTTCCTTCTCCAGACGCTTGAGCTTGTCCTGGAGGAAGCTGAGCTCTTCCTCGTGCTTCTGCCGAAGGGCGCTCTCCCTCTCCTTGGTCTCCTGCAACATCCGGAATTCCATCTCCAGCTGGGGATCGTTCTGCAGCTTCAGCACCTCCTTCTCCGTCACCTTCTCCTGCTCTTTGTTCTTCTCGCTGGACAGCACAGCAATTTGTTGGCGTAAGAGGATGACTTCACTCTCCCTGGTCCCTTCCTGCCTCCTGAGCTCTTCCAGTTCCTCTTTGAGTTTCAGGATTTCAGCAGCTTGAGCTTTATCTTGTTCAATCCTCAGCACCTCTTTCACTATGTACTCCTGCCCCCCTTCCCTCTTCTCGTGCTCCAGGACTCGCAGCCGGATTTTAAGAGCCTCCAGCTCATCCTGGAGCGCCTGGTTCTTGCGCTGCTCCTCTGCCAGGTTTTGCTGCAGTCTGTGAAAACTCTCCTCCAGCTGGGGGTCAGGTACCTTCTTCACCAGTTCTTTCTTCACCACAGTTTCTTGGGGCTTCTGGTTTTGCAGGTGGACAATGTTGTTCTGAATGGCTTCAATCTCCGCCTCGAGCTGTTGCCGACGCTGAGTCTCATCCTCAAGCTCTTTCTTCAGCTTCCAGACTTCTTCCACAGGCCTTACAGACTTTTTGGTCTGGGCAGAGTCTTGTGTCATCTGAATCTCTGGCTGCTGTTGTTGGCAAAAGGATCAAAAAAACTTAGTCAAAAAAATCCAGTTAATCACACTTTTGGTGCTTATCATCACAGAATCATGCAATCATTTAGGTTGGAAAAGACCTCCAAGATCATCAAGTCCAACCTGTGACTGATCCCACCTTGCCAGCCAGCCCAGAGCACGGAGTGTCACGTCCAGTCGTTCCTTGGACACCTCCAGGAACGGTGGAACACATCTGCCACCTCCCTGGGCAGCCCCTTCCAAGGCCTGACCACCCTTTCAGTGAAGAAATTTCTCCTGATGTTTAACCTGAGTCTCTCCGTTTCCCCTTGTCCTGTCCCTGTTCCCTGGGAGCAGAACCCAACCCCCCTGGCTGTCCCCTCCTGTCAGGAGTTGTGCAGAGCCACAAGGTCCCCCCTGAGCCTCCTTTTCTCCAGGCTGAGCTCCTTCCCAGCTCCCTCAGCCCCTCCTGGGGCTCCAAACCCTTCCCAGCTCTGTTCCCTTCCCTGGACACACTCCAGTCCAAGTCCTTCTTGTCATGAGGGGCCCAGAACTGGACACAGAACTGAAGGTGCCTCAGCAGTGCCAGCACAGAGGCACAGTCATTGCCCTGGTCCTGCTGGCCACACTGTTCCTGACCCAGACCAGGAGGTCGGTGCCTCCAACAATGCAACAGGAGGGAGTTGAGCTCTGGCAAACTCTGAGCAGGGTGCATTTGCAAACGGCCCTCTCTGCAGGCTCCCAGCCTGAGAAGTCCTTTCTGCAATGCTTGCTGCTGTCAGAACACAGCTCTGAGCCACAAGGGACACTAATTC